TGATTTCAAATGATAAACAGCAGGAGGTAATGAACTTCTAAAACATAATTTATGCAAATGTTCCTACCTTCTTCCTACCAATATAGTTTCCATAGAAAAATAGAGCACGTCAACAGCTCTCTTAGCTTTTTGCTAATTCTAGAGGTTTTGATAATAATAATGGACTTCATTTGGGCATCAGGATTGCACCATAGCTGAATCTGGCTCCTGATCTCTTAATATGTAAACTGTTGTTTGAAACCTGTAATTCCATGTTGAATTGCTATTTAGATCCAGAAATTGCATCATGCTCATACGTACAAACAGTGAGTCTCTAGGGCTTCTGACTACTCTTCCCTTCACCCACAGTGCTGTAATAATGATATATTTAAATGAGCTGTCTGCAAAGTACAGGTTTTTAAAACAAATTAACAATGTTGTTTAGAGGCAGTGGTAAGGTAGGAAGGCAAGAAAAATATTTAGGGAATGGTCTGCAAAACGTACCGTGGGAGTGAATGACGTTCTAAGACCTGCTGCTACCTGGATCTGGAAAAGCTCTTCTCTTTCCTTCTGCACACTTGCTCCAGGTTATTCTGAGGACTGATCCAGGCAAGAAGGGAAGTAGGATGCTGCTATTCATTCTTACTATGGGATTTTTATTCCACCACTTCAGGAAAAATACAACCAAGGCAAGTTAACAGAGGCCTGAATGATTCTGAGAGGCAAGGGCAAAAAAGAAGGCAAGAGGGGGGGAAAAAAATGCACCTTGTAGTGACCCAGTACATCTTTCTGCCCTGCTGATTTGTCAGCATTTCTGGCTGAAGAAGAGGGAGCAGCCCCAGACGGTCTGTGAAAGGTGTAGCGACTTCAATTTGCAGTCTGGGGACTGCAATTGATTCTGGGGAGCAAATGGTGTGTGCCATTCTGCTTAATAACCACCCATTCCCCAACACAAGTGACTTTTGTGTAGCTCTCTAAGTGACTGTTTATCCAAGGGACAGGTAAGGGGTTTCTAGGAAATTGTACCTTACTGGTAGTTTGCACTCTGAGCACAAGCATAGCATAGTGTGCTCGATTTGTATTGTTGAAGTAGCTGCTGCTTGTGGCTATTTGTAAATATGTATGTAAGGTTTGCTTAATTTCAGGGTAATTGCTTCACAAACTATTCTGTAGTGTATTTATTATGCCAAGCTATCATTAGATTCTTTTTGGAATTTATATTGAAAAAGGTTGGGCATTTCCAGGAAGCACAGTTTTTTATTAAATGGAAGAGGAATCAAATAAGAAGGCCAAATAGTTGAACAAGTATGATCTCCGAAGCTACTGCATTCAGGGAATCCCTCTTTTATCAAGATGCAAATCCATATCCTGTGCTTTTAATAAAGTCTTAAATATAGAATTCAGTATCAGGACAGGCAAGAAGGTGCTTACTGATTAGTCCTCCTATGAGTAGGAGACTACTTCCAATACAATATTGCCACGGTGTCCCCATTATTTTTCCTGTTAACTGTTACACTCTTTGTTCTGATTTTTTTTATTAAGCTGAGGGCTATACATGTCTTATGTTCATCTCAAGGGAGTTTTAGATTTGAAATAATTATAATTCACAGTTACTTGGATATTTAAGACACACTTTGACATTTACACAATCAAATCTGTACTTGATGGTCTGTAGTAGTGAGTCTAATACAAAGTTCTGACCTGTGTGTGTGCAACTCACTCCATGTGTATCTCTGGAACAACACGGATTTCAGTAGCATAACTTGGATCTAAAACCTGGGAAAAAAACTGTCCCATGGCATCTGGGGCATCGCTTTTAGATATCCCCTAATTAATCAGCAATAATGTCATCTACCTCCAAAATCATAGCTGTTCCGTATTTCTTAATACCACTGCATTTCTCAATATATATACAAGGAGGCTTTTGTGCAGAACTGAAATCCAAGCGTGATGTTTTCTTAGGGTAAAAATTATTGAAGTTTTCTTTCAACACATTTAAAAACATTAAAAAGATGGTCTTGCCCATTGTCAAATTAATGCATTCTTTATACAATGTATTTTATACTTCACTGGTTTGTAACAAATTAGCAGAATTTAAGGTTCACATGAACGCCCCTGAGGGCATGAGCAATCCATTAAATATCATTCAATTGGTATAATTTGATTTAACATTCTGCACTAACTGAATACTGCTGGAATGTAATAAAATAGTAACTTCAATATTAACTTTTTTTACTTTATGTGGTCTGTAGATAGAAGTTGTCCTTGCTATGGCAAAGTCCTGAACACTGCTTTTGTTTCCCAGTAAGCAGCTGTTCCCAGAAATGTTTTGTGTAAGAAGCTGTACTCATCCATATGGAATGTAGATGAAGGAATAACTGTGAGAGTCGTGGATCTTAGTGTGGAGGTTTTTTCTCTGTATTAGCCAGATCAAGATCTGGCACTGCTTGGGCAATGCTGTTACGGGAGTAAGAAACTGGTTCGAAGTCTCAAAAGGCTAGAGGCGATTCCCTGTAAAGTCAGTAGATGGTTTCCTATTGACTGCACTGAGAATTAGAGCATGTCCCATGAGACTTACTTGAGAAGCTGCTTGCAAAGTAGGTATTTTGCTTCCTAGCTTCTCAATCAAAATGTATCTGTGTTTTTATTTCTGCTGCTGTTTTAACTGTGTTGCTTTTTCAGGTGCTCACAGGGAAACTTGACAACTGTTTCACCACCTAGGAATCAGCACTACAATTCACTGGTGCTTGTAGTATGCACCATTTACAAGGAGTAGGAGGGCACTGTCTGTATAACACATCTTGTCTTAGGTACTGCAGTGCTCCTACTGTTTTCACTTTTCTCTAGAGAACTGAGCTGTTAATAGATATCTAAAAGGCACACACAACCATAACTTGGGAAAGCATGGAGAGGTTTCTCTGTGACTAATATAAAAGCATTCTGTTGTCCTAGGGTGTAACATATGAAGGTGATTAGCTACAAATATTGTAGGTAAATAAGATACCTTTTCAGCTGCGCTCCTTATATTAAGGATGCAAAGTAGAGGAAGAGTTTAAAAGACTTCTCCAGCTTTCTGCCATCATGGGCATCTTTGTCAGGTGAATTTTTACCCTCTTTGTAACTCCTGTCACCAGAACACGTTTAAACAAGACTCAAGTTACGTGCCCAGAAGATGAGCAAAGTGTTGGCAATTGCTTGCGTTGCCCTTTCCCCTGGGGTGACTTGTAGCTGAGTAGCGCAGGCACCTGTGGGTAATGGCTGTTCCTTCTCACGTCTACATGAACACTCAGTGCTGTGTGAAATGCACAGTTAAACGAGTGTGAGGTAGACCATAGTCTGCCACTTGGACACCCAAATCACAGTTCTGTTTTAAATGCAACCTCAGAAAATAATAAACAATATACTTTTGCTTTTATAACAAGATTTGGGCTAAAAAAGACCTAAACCTCATGGAAGCCGTTCTTAGTAAGATGTCCTCTTCAAAGGAGATGTAACAGAACTCAAAGTTTCTTCAAAACATTTATGAATGAAAGTGCACCTTTTCAGGCATCTGACTGCATAGTGCTTTTGTCAGAAGTGGTAATGTAGGAAAGGATTGGGGTTTGTGTATCTCTGTCAATGTGAAGTGCTGCTGTTAAAATAACAGTAGTCCAGTTCTGTAAATGGGAGACACTCAGGGTTAGAACTGTGCACCTGGCCAGGGACTGCAGGAGCCATGTCCCAAGGGCAGGTAATACTAAGTACCTGGAAAACATGAGTGTCTCTGATAACTGTCTAATGCAAAGAGTAACAGACTTCTTAAGATTTAATTAATGTACAGGCCACTCTCCTTATTAAAAAATACTGTTAGTTAAGGAAAAGAGCACATTGAACACTGTCAGTCCAGTAGAAAGTTGTCATTGATCTTGCTTTTAAAATCTTGCTTTAAGTGAGTTTGCATCATTTAGTCATGGAAAATACTGCTGTTAGTTATCATAAACAGATCACTTGGCAAGGTGAGCATAGCACTGAAATTCTGTTCTCAACAGAATGGAAAAACTTAGATAAAAAAAGACTTGATAAGATAGGGTAAAAATAGACTGACATACCACCACCATTTCTAAAGGACTGGATTCACAGTTTACAGAAATATGGTCAGAAACATGCACACTCCTTTTCAAAAAAACAAACAAAAAGCACGACCTAGAAAAATGTAAATCCTAGGCCAAGAAGTCTAAGGATGGAATAGCAGAGGTGCCAAAATGCAGGTATATGGTTATGGACACCTTGAACTGTTAGTTCTCAGCCCAGGCAAATACTAAGATTCATCCCAGTTGCACTCAGTAGTTAATGAAGCTGGAGCCAGATTTTGCTGCTCACACTGCTCACTTTGCTTTGATTTGCTTTGCTTTAGGGATGATCACGTTTTTCCACCTTTGGATTTGTTGTAATAGACGGTTTGCAATTCTGAGTTCTATTTATGAAACATTTTTTATCCTTTACCTTTATTCTGACTTGTTGCTTCTGCTAGCAGCATGTTACTCCTCTTTCACTTCACTTGCATAGCATGCTGCACTGTAAAACTAGTATTAGGCAATGTGTATTTTATGCTTTGATATACCTCTGGTAATGTAAAGGTGGTCTAGAAGAACTGTAGCAAGTACCAGAAAGCACAAGTAGATCTGTAACAAGGGAATACAGTTTAAAGTACAGCTTGGATTTTATCAGAGCTGTAAACCATAATGAATTCAAGGGAATTTGGACATGCAGATAGAATTGATAAATGCTGAAATAAGTCAAGTGAACTGTAGTGTATTTCTAGGGATTTTGTGCTTTGTTTTTCTTTCCTATGTATTGAACTATATCTAGGCACAAGTAACTTATGGCTTGAAGAATGCCTTCATTTCCAGGAACTAAGTGTGTCCGTGTGATGTAAAAAGGCCAGCAATACTGAAGTGTGGGTTATATAATTTCCTGGTTCACATGGCTGGTGTGCATTGTTTTATTTGTGGTGGTTTTGTTTTGTTTTGTTTTAAATTCAGGTATCCTTTCCTGCCCTGTGTGCAAACAGACCTGCTTTGCAAGGAATGTAGTTGAAAATTTCTTTCTTAAGGACTTTGCCACTGGTAATTCAGCTATGGCAAAGGTAAGTGAAAACCACTGAGTTGGGTGCCTTGTGAGTTGTTGAAACACAACCACATGAACACAGTTTGAAAACAGAGCAAACTTCATATTGAAAAACAGACTCTGTTACAGTTTGCTTATGCAGCACTGTAATTACTTCACTCCTAGAGATGGACATACTGCCTTTATAGTACTTTTTAAACTTTATTTGAAGAAGGAGTTTGACTCTATATACTTAAAATAAAGTCAATTAAAAAATATTGATACTAGTGGTGTGGGACTGCATCTGTGATGATCAATATATTAGGAAGGTACTGAATGTCTCGGATTCCTCATTGTCCCTTTTCTGCTCTCAACACAAAGCGAACAGAAGCAGAGTATTGGCTGAATGGTTACACCAAGATTACCTATTAGATCCTGTGGGCAATTACCATTTGCTGATTGTCTGTTTTAATGATAAAAAAGGTCATGTCATATTTCAGTTTCCCATTGGGGAATGGATGCAAAGGGTAATTGGAAGGCATAGGATTACTACCTTGGCCTTGTATTGATACTGTACAAAGATGGATTTCACTTCTGTTAAAAACCCAGTTAACAGGCAGGACTATTCTCACAGTTTTTTAGTTGTTAGTACTTTGGGTCACAAGGAGGGACAGAGAAAGGTGTGTATTTCTGCCTCCTCTGTTACAAAACAGTACTCTATTGTTTACATTAATAAGATTGATTTCAAAATATGGTAGTATTACCTGTAGCTGGGAGTTAAAACAGGTGAAAACTCATCAAAACTATTCTGTAATCTGCTGACTGCTTTATCCAAAGTGTGATCTAAAGCAAGGGAAGAGTGACAAAGAAGCAGGGATACTGGACTTCACCTTCTGAACCAGCTCCTGGATCTCAGTCTGTCCCTTTTGCACTTTTGGTTCCTAAGTAAACTGGGTAGCCACATTGGATGTTCAGTTTCAGGGCCTTTGGGTAGAGGAGAACACTTTTTCCATAATGTAGGACAGAAGATAAATCTTTCCACTGCTCTTAGCTCCTGTAGGGTCAGCAACAATTTGCAGGTCAGTTCTGTCCCATGCAGAAGGCTTGAGGTGGCTTTAAATTGTGCAAGTGACTTGCCCAGTGACATCGTTGCAAAAAAGTATAAAGGCGATGTATTTCTTCCCTGTCAGCCATTTCTGTGTTTCATTTTCTCCATTGTTGAAAAGAATGTGTAACCTAATTCATGGAGTGTTCTGGGGAAATTAATGCAAGAAAAGTGTGTTGACATCTTCAGGTGTAAGGTGTTTGAAGAGTGCAACATAACTAACTTTATCTAAACCAGGAAGATGTCTCTTCACATGCGCTCTTCAAAGAGAAGAAAATCATAAGATATTGCTGAATGTTTAGAATGCCCTTATTATACTGGGATTTCTTAATTACCATGACTCACATCATTTACTTTTCAATGAGATTTCATGTAGAAAGGAAATCAAATGAGAATATCTAATGTCTTCAAAAGCACTAGATTATTTTTTCAAAGCTTCTTTAAAAGAAGGTTTTTCTTTTCTGTAATCCCTTAGGAGTCCTAAGAGCAGTCCAGTAAAGCAGATTTCTCACTGAAGCATAGGAGTACCTTAGAGGGACTCGCGAACCTTCCTCATAGTTTTTGGCTTACTTCCTTTTTATTAACAGTCAAGTCACGTATCAGTGAAGCTTGCTTACTGGTTTTTAACCACCAGCCCCTCCAAAATAAAGCCATAGTTTCACCATCAGTGATATCAAAAGGAGAAGCACTAGCTCATCCAGCTGAGACACTGCTGAAATGCCATAATTTTCTTAATTTACCTAATATGTTCAAATGGGAATCTGTCAAGGCTTGTAACAAAGTGTTTGGAAGCAAGATGTTTCTCAGTGTGTGAGATAGTGAAGCATAAATGATAGAATGTGCTACATACCAGCAGCAGGGGTTTCAAAAATATGCAATTCAGAATCTCTTGCCCAGAAGCCCATTTCCACATCATAAATAATGTAACTCTGGGAACACTCTGTGCTCTGCAACTTAGAAGTAATGTTAACACAGTACAGTATCAATATAAGTTCTAGTCAGACTGACAGCTCAACAATTGCAGGTAAACTTGTGATTAAGCAGTTTTGGTTATTGCAGAGAAGGCAGAGCATCCCTCAACTTTTGACCTGTTCCCTCATCTGGCCCTTTGTGGTACATTTTAAATCAGACATTTCTTTTTATATAACAAGCTTTGCTTCCCAGAATAAATACCCTTGCATTTTGGTTATAGAAGTTATATTAGGCTTTTTGGTTTAAATTATTACATATACATTACATATTTTGGAAAACATTGTTGATAAGCAAATGGCTAAAATAGCAGAATGCTTACACAAATACTTCCCTGCCTAGACAATCAAACACATTTAAAACTTTGCTTTGTTGTCTTATTGTCAAGAATTGCACAATCTCTTTGAAAAAGATTGAGAATACTTAGAAATTCTTGAACAATGAGTTGATAAGAGACCTGTTGTGAAATTCCAGCCTCACTGAAGGGAATGGTAAAATTTACATTAATTTCAGCAGAACAAATTTTTTTTTTCTGAAGTGAATCAGAACTTGACTCACTTGCTTCTCAGAATTTAGGTGGATATAGATGTTCCACTTATTGTTAAAGCCATGATTTAAAACTAAGATGACTAGCAAAGAACAGTGATTGTTCTTCCTTCAGGCTTTCTATTCCCTGAGACACTGCAAAGAGAAACTCTTCTATTAAATTCACCAGGGCTTGCATTAGGGCTTATGTGCTGAGTGTATGCTGCTATATCCTTCTTTTCATGTTTCCCATCAGAATAGTTGGGAAGCAATCGTAACTAAACTGAATTGAAGATAAGCTGATGCCCGATAGAAAGGGCAAAATAGGAAGTAATTTTGCCATCTATTATTAGTTGCTTGAGTAGCCCTAAGTAGTAGCAATATTCGGGAACTATGCATAAGTACAGTAGATATATTGTAAACTTGTAGGAAATGTTTGAGTTTGATAAACTGGTGGCAAAGCTTTTATGCTTTGATGATGGTAAAATTACAACGCTATGTTCACTCTGTCCATTAGTATGTATTTGTGGCTACTGTAAGTCAAAACCATTAATATTAGGAGTTTTCAAACAAGGTAGTTTATGCCTAGTGCAAATCTTTTTTTTAAAAGTAATATCATTATAGCTATCTTGAAATAACTCTTGAGTTCATTCTGGATACCAAAGATCAAATTAGACACGTCATTTATGTGCTGCTTTATTCATCTCCTCTTTAGTGACACTTCCAGACAGCATGGCCTATACAACAAAGGGCATTTCCTAAATTGTAGAAAAGATAGTTAATTAGGGTTTCCAGTTCTTCTCATGTTCCCGTGTCTTATGTTTCCAGTTCACCATATGTGATACCAATATATAAATTGAGCTTATTTCTGGTCAGCTCTTTAGAGAATAGGAACTAAGTTTTTCATTAATAGTATGTGGGTGTCCCCATATTGTTTTCTAAATTGCCTTACCATTGGCATGTTTTATGTATTTTTCTGACAGTCACACTCTATCAGAGTGGTTCATACAATGCTAAAGCAAATAGAGCAAGCTCTAATTTTAAATAAAGCAATGTAGATTTAGAGTAGCTCTGCTGAAGTAGCTCTGATTTACATTCATATACATGAAAGCAGAAATGGATTCTAGCCTAAGGATTTTTTGTTTATTAATAAATCATTAGTAATGGGCAGAAATTAATGAATGACACTGAAAGGATATAGTAAAATGCTTCTGCATAATGTTGTGATTAGAAAGGAAATGGTAGCTAGACTAAAAAACTTTTTGATGGGCTATGTTTGACTCCAACACTTCACTTATTTACTTGCCAACCTAGACTATCTTTTCTGAGGTAGAAAATACCTATATCTAGCTATCTAAATATATATATATAATATAAAGTAAGGTGTACACTCATTTGATGTGTTAAAACCATCAGTAAGTACTACAACACTAACAAAAAGGGATTATAAAGCACACCACTCATTTTCAAAAGTAACTTTTAATCTAACCCTCCTTAATTGAAATCAGACAAGTCTTATTTCATAGTTTCATAGCTTTTTCAGTTCACAAGAAACAAGTCATTACGATTATTTCTTGTGACTTCATGCATAACATGGACCTTAGAATTTTGCTGAATAATTCTTGCATCATGTCATAATTATGCTTGATTTTGCTAGAGCACAGAAAGACAATCAATTTAAGAGCTTCAAATCTTAATTTTATTCTATTCTCTTTTACGTAATAATCAGACTCTTAAAATCAGTTGAATTGCATTAGTCTGAGGAAGAAAAATATTAAGCTTACCAATCTGAATCATAGTCTATTAAAGATAACAGTTTGTATGGCTAATTTTTTATCCTTGCATGTAACTGCACTTTTTGTTCTTAGTGCTGCTCCACATGTAAAGAGAAGAGACCCGCTCACAGTCTCTGTACAAGCTGCAATAAGTGGTTATGCAGCTCATGTACAGAGGAACACAGGCATGGCAAGGAAACTGGAGACCGCTTCTTCTCTGTATCCCTGAAGGGCTGCACAGGTACTGAAGATACACTTTGAAATTTTGTTTCTTCTCATATCAGTTATTCAGTTGAAAAAGGAGCAGTTGCAGGCTCTGTGCCACAGACGTGGTCTGTGTGATTCAGAAGGCTGTGTGTGTGTCACTCAGAAGCCTGTGTATGTGTCAATGAGAGATTATGTGATTTTTCTGTAACTTTAGGGCCATTGCCACAATCAGCATTCCACAGTATTTGAAAAATTTTGGTTATTTGTGTTTCACAGAGACTATCTTTTCCACATGCCTTTTCAGTCTGCGGAATGATGGACTAGGGTTTGATAGGCTACAACAGCAACAGGCCTTGCCCTTTCAGTATTTCTGTCCTCTTTTGGGTAATTTCTTTCAGGAAACTACCATCAAGCAATTCCTGTGCTTATGGACAAAGTGCGGGAGGGAAAGTCACAGGGAGCAGAAGGCTATGATCACTATAGGATGTTCTTTTCTAAGCCTGGACTGAAAAACATGGTTCCTGAGTGTGACCACTATATTGCCATCAGCAAGCACAAATGAAGCCCACTGGCACATATGTCTCATCCCTATAAAATGATGATCCATAGAAAGGACTATCATCTCCTATTACTGCTCATTATTTTCTTTCCTTATATGCCAGATATCTGCTGAGGAATATGCCAACCTAAACTTACTAAGCAATTTGTAACCTAAAATAAGAGTTTTGCAATTTTATGCAATGATTTAAGTTTACACTTCGCTCACATATGAAGTTATTTGTGCTAGAGTTTGTGCTGCACTATCATTCTTCTTCATAAAGAAGATGAAGGACAGAACAAGGAATAAATATAGGTGTAGCCTACTGATTATACTTCTTTTTTTTTTTTGGCTTTAGGATTTTGCTTGCAGAAGCCTATACTTTAGGCTTGCTATAGATGGAGTTCTTTTAAGTCTTGGGTGTTCATATCAAACAGAGTTTGAGGCCCTTGAGACATGATATGCTGTTGCCAAATAGTGTAAACGAACAAAAAAACCTCTGTAAGAATAGTAATAATAAAAAAGCACAGAAGACATTTAAATGTTTTCTGGCTCTTTTCTAGAGATTAATATAAACTGAAGTCTCCACAGTCCCTCAAATGCCCTGACTGGATGGACAATATGTTTTTCTTCTTGAGTTGATGGCAAGATAAGGACTGTGGTTTTGAGGCTCCAACTGTTTATAATTTCATTCCACTTTGAGTAAGATTACCAGCTCACGTTGTTGACAAATAATGTTAAGAAAATATACCTGTGACTTAGTTGTGGTTTTGTGTGTGCTGTATAAATAAAATGATGTAAACACATAAACTAAAATGCTTTCTCATCTTTTTAGTCCTAAATTCTGTGAGCTGAAAAAAAAATTAACAAGGAGGTTGGTAGCGTATATATAGGCTAGTTAATCTAAAAATTGATTGGGAATGTAATCTGTGCTTTTAAAATTATTATTATTTATGTATATATTATTTATTTAGGACATAGATATCCCCTCAGGATATTTCAAAGAAAGCAAATATTAGGATATACTATTGAAATATATTTTATTTTTTATTTTCTGGAAATAAAGCATCCTCTGCTTTCAGATTCAGTAGCCACCTTCAGTCTGTGTATGGTGCTTCTGAGCAACTCTCAACTTCTTTGTAGGCCCTTGTAACCATTAAGAGACTCTCTATCCCATTTATCTTGCACCCTTAAACTGTTCTGTCTTTTGCCATTTGCTTTACAAGGGCCAGACTTTCTTTTGTCATCTAAAAACCATAAGATTCCCTGGGTCTGAAATGAAGTAAAGTAGAAAAAAACCCCAACCACCAAACACATTAAATCCTGCCTATTCCTATTCATTTTGATAAAAAATTTCTTCCTTGAGTGGCAGAACTAAAGGAGCCTGGCTTCCCTGGGAAACCTTTCTTTCTGCTTCTTCATTCATAATACCCATGCTCCGTGTAACACATCTGATCACCCCTTGCCACACAGAACCTTCAGCTCTCTGTCACGGTTACCTGTGACATCCACTTACCCTGCACATCCTCCTGCTTCCTTCCTGGGCCATTGTCTGCCTGCTGGGTGAGACCCAGCTCACACAGCTGAACAGCTGAGCTGGCTGCCAGGCAGCACCCTTAGCCTGGTGACTCCTGAGGTTATGCTGCAGAACAGTGTGCCAATTTAATGTGATTTTTGAGAACTTTACCCTTCATTCAAATTTGTATTTAGAAGTTAAAGGCATGGGGAAGAGCAGGACTAGGCTGGAACAGAAAAATTTCATATTGTATAAGAAGAAAACAATTTTGAAGTAGCCAGATTTCTTTTTCCTACTGACTCATCCTTTGTAAGTCTGAAGTAAAGGCCCACAAAATGAATGCTGCTCGTAGGGGATTCCCTGTGAGGCCGCCTTGGTCTTGGAAAGGGCTCCATTCTTGTTTGGAAACAGCTGTATTTTATTCATTCCATAGCATTCTGTAACATCTGGTAGCCTGAGGGGGGCAGTTGTGCTAGTTAGAGTTCATTGTTGTGTACATGCTTATTGAGAACTGGAATGGGGAGTGGTCTGTGTCACAATTGTTCAGCTGAAAACTGTTACTGAACTCCTACATTGAAAAACAGACCTTATTTTTTTAAGCATAAACCCAGATAAATAGCATGCACTGGACATCATTTTGATTCCTCCCCCTGCAAATTTCCCACTAATGTTTATATGTTGTATGGTTGCTCCAGTGTATTCTTGTTAGCTGAACCACTTCTAGAGGTACTATAAAAAATTCCAGTTCTCTTGTGAGTGCCAGACTATTACTGCTGGTTATGAATATGAAGAGATGTGGTTCACAGATGGGTTAAACTGCACTACTTGCAGTATTTCAAAGATAACGATTTTTCCTGACAGTTAAAAAAAAAAAAAAAGCAACCCAAAAGAACCCTGAAAACTCTGGATCTGTGACTGCAAGATCAAGACGTGAAAATGTTGAAATCTGCTTCTGGAATGAATTTGCTGAGCACTGAAGAACTAGGTGCTTGGAACATGGGCCAAAGCTTTATGACAGATTAAGCAGCAATCTTGGAGGAATAATCTCTGAAGGACAAACCTTTCACTGCAGGGGTCTGCATTAGCACTAGGAATAAGTGAACTTTGTTAAGTTTGAATTTCTGCAGAGCTCTTGAACTGCTTAAAGTCATAAAACCAGAATTTCTTCCTCCCTTAGTCCCAACTTTCTTAAAAGTACATTCAGCATTAGTACAGACTCTTTCCTTGTTAAGCGGAAATCTGTGCTATGCAACTGAGTAGAAACAGTCCTTTTACCAAAACTATGTTAGAAGTAAATGATCTGGTACTGACACACCAACTATTTATAGGCTAGTGCGCAAACAGAATAATTTTCTCTTTGCTATACTGTTCTTTCCTTTCAGTCTCTCAAGGTTGAATATGAACCTATAAAATCAAAGTTTGAGTCACTGTGAATTACACAAGTTGAGGGAGGACTCTATTAGCCAAGATGAGATTGCTTTTCCAAAGTTGACATCAGCTGGCCAGAGGAACAGAGATTTAAAACTTTCTGTTAATTATTCAAGAGATCCATCTGAGGTAAAGAAAATACAGGCTGTAGAAAATGGTGACTCAACTGATGTTAATTCAGGATTTAGGGCAATAACAGAATAACAGCTTGCATGCTGTGCAGGTGCTGAACACTTAGAGGGGCTTTTCCAACTCATGAAAATTGAGATAGTTATTATGGGCTTTTTGTTTTTCTTTTAAGATATAATATCTGACTCCGTAGGGGAGGAAAAGATGATCTTTGACATCCACCTTGGTTATATATTGGTTATACAACCTACTTGGTTACATATTATTTGCATTGTCAGCTGCAGGTTTTAATGCAAAAGTACATATTTGCAGTACAATGAGAAAAGATTTGCTGTCAAGGTGACTTCGGTTTGTACCTTGATAGAAAAAAAAAAACATTGGAGTGGGCTAACAGCACCCTCTGATCCAATTTCCTCTTTTAATAATGCTATCTATTATAATTTGATTCAATAATAGTATCAACCAATAAACTTTCCTGAAGAATAAAGCATGGTACTGTAGTAAATGATTCATAACAATGTAAACTGTGTAATGCTGTTACATAAAAATCTTGGCCTAATTTATCTCAAATTATCTTCTTGCACACTATGTTAAGACAATGGAGGGGAAAGCCAATTGAACCATCTCAGAAATGTTTAGAGTAGATAGCAATCTAAAAAGTAGGAAATTTGGCATATTTAGAGCATGGCATGGATTTTCTCTGTGTTTTCATTCTCTTTGTCACCCATCAGGTTTTCTTAGCCTTTCTACTTCTATATTGTGCATTTTCCAATTTGAAAATAAAGCGACTAAATTAATATAGCTTGCTGTACACTGTGTGTCTGTGTTAACTGCAACAGTATCACTTCAGAGGCTTGATTGTATAAAGGGCTTTCTTTCCTTACAGGATGAGAGCCTGGTCCCTGCCACAAGTTGTTTTTTTTAAATGTTTAGATAAGTAAGTTAGGTTTGGTGGGGGAAAATTGAAACATTTTTCTCATTTTATGTGAACAAATAATGATATATAAATAAGCAATGTTTCTATTTCATTTAAAGTTTGTATCCATAAGTGTTATCTAACAATGATTGTTTTGTTTAATTTCTTGAGTGTTGGTAAAGAATAATAGGATAGTGTCTTTGTAGGAATACTTTGAGGACACAGCCATGTGCTTTTCTTGTTGTCCCCATATATGTCCCTATGTGCTAATAATGTTGATGGTTCTGTGGACAAGGATTTGAACACTGACCTGCATAAATCTGTCACTGTACTTTAGCATTGCTTGTGCTTTTTGACCATTTTGAGAGAATAGTGGTTTTCACCAGTAATAATGATGGGTGGTCCTTACACTGGTTAATAAAATAAGGCTCTGGAGTCTGTGTTTTGGGGGATCCAAGAGCTTCCCCCTCCCTGCCTTAACTATTAATGTAGATGTACTTGTGAATGTGTAACTTCAGTGGAAGGGGTTTTGTTTTGGTATGGTTTAGTGGGGTTTTGTTTGCATTCTTTCATTGAAAGTGTTCCTTCTTTCTAAAACAGTTCTGCTGTATGCAGGAAAGAAGGCAAGAATAGATTGTACAGGGGCAACACTTCCACTTTAGATATCCACTGTCCATTCTTACTCTTCATCACATTACTCTTTAGAAAATACTTTTAAGAACAGGTTTGAGTGCCTAATATCAATATCCCGTAGCTGCTGAAGCTTATGTACTGCATTTACAACAAATACAAGTTTGAAAAACAATTCCCCATGTGACTTTTTAAGAACAAAGGATTTCCTTGCTTCTGCTGTGACTTCAGGTTTATTTAATATATTTGCTTTTCTACATTTTACAATACAGATTTGTTGTCCGGTTTGCTGGACCAGAGCATTCAAAGTTGTGAGGCAGGTGCCCAAAATCGTGAGAGATATTTAAAACACATGAGAGTTTAGAGGACAATATGAATTTGGTTTGATGACTTGTTTCTGAACCTCTTTGATGTGCTCAGTTTGTAGGATGTATAAGGCCAGGAAAAAAATAAAAATAAACCCTGCATATAATCAGATGGTTCCAGGGTCTGGGTATTTTAAAAATAACATCAAGACTTTCAATAAAATTGTGAGAGTTTGGCAACTCTTTTTCTGAACTATAATAGTAATCTTTGTCAATGACACCATTGCTTTATATTCCTCAGCAACTGAAGATGAAGGAAGTGAGTTTTCCTTATTTTGTCCAGTGCACACTCAAGAGCCCCTCAAGCTGTTTTGTGAGACCTGTGATATCCTTACATGCCGCAGCTGCCTTCTGACAGAGCATAAGGAACACAGGTACCACACATTGATTCCTTAATCATAATCCTGTCTAAAACTGTAGCTAATTTAGATTTAAGACTATTCATCTGCATTTTCTGTCGGCTGAAGTTGCAGTCTAGTCCAAAGTTAAAAGCCACAGCAAACTCAGTTCAGTTGTCTTATGCTCATGCAGTGTAACACATGGGTTACTGCCCTCACAGAATCACTCACTGCTCTTCACAGTGTGTATGTTCCCATGTCTGCCCAGATGCTATGTATGCATGCATATAGTTCCTCGTGATTGTGCTCAAAGGCACAAGTTGAACTCGATACTTAGCATGGTTCAAATACTTCTGTTTGTCTTTATCAAAGACATCATGACTGTACAAGACAAGAGTTACTAACGCTTAAGCGTGCTGCTTGCCTGTGGAAGTGTGTGAGCCATGTAAGTAATTGTCTATACACAGTGACACTTTTTGTGAGATAAGCCTGCCTATATGAGGGGCAATAAAGTTTAGCTGTCACAGAGAACATTTGTAGTAGGAAACAAGTAGGGGACCATGTCCAGACAGGTATTAAGGCAGCTGGTCCCCTAAACTTATCATCTGATAAGTTGATTACTTATTAACAGAAAAAAACATGGTGTGAGAATTTCCCCTTTGTTCACAGGTTCAGACATCTTGATGAAGCTTTGCAAAATCAGAGACTTATCCTGGAAAATGTCATAACTAAAGTGGAAGAGAAAAAAAATGGGATTCAGGTTTCAGCTAAACAGATTGAAGACAGGTAATTGCTATGCATTTGTTTTTCATGAAAGTGGGTGATCAGTAAAAATATTATTTTCACTAAATGAAGATTAACAGAAGTAAATGCAGATGCTATATTTTCTTTTTTTCCTTGGAGGGTAGGAAATAATAGGAAGACTAAAAATATCAAATTCATGTTTAAGTGGTACTGACAAGTCATGGCATTGTAATACGTGATTCCATAGTCCTTATATGGCATGTGACAGCTGACTTCAGAGTTAAGATTTCTTTGTACAATCTGTTTCTGAACTAGAATTTGAAAATACTAGAAATAAAGATTATTTTTAAAATACCATATTTCTTCAAGAAACCTCAAAACAAACTGCAATTCCAGTCAAGACTAGTATAAAAATGAAAATATTTCATTATATGAACTGGATTTTGGCTACTGATTATGTATCTGTCAGCTGTTGGATCTCTCTTCTGCATGAATAAAACAATTTCAAACAGCCTGAAAGAGTACAAATCTATTTATACTACTTATACTCTAGTATAAAGTGAAATTTTTTTTTTATATGGCTTCTGTGTGTGTTTGTTGACAAAGAACTTTAGACTGTTCTTGGCATGATGTTTGAGAGAGTCAATCAGCATTAGCATGTCACATCCAGAGGATAGTGATCAACAGCTCAATGTCCAGATGGAGACCAGTGACACGTGGTGTCCCCCAAGGGTCCATATTGGGACCAATACTGTTTAATGTCTTCATCAACAACATAGACAGTGGGATCGAGTGCACCCTTAGCAAGTTTGCAGATGACTCCAAGTGAGTGGTGCAGTTGATGTGCCTGAGGGATGGGATGCCATTCAGAGGGACCTGGAGAAACTCAGGAAGTGGGTCCATGTGAACCTCATGAAGTTCAACAAGGCCAAGTACAAGGTCCTGCACCTGGGTCAGGGCAACCCCCCTGTATCAAGACAGGCTGGGGGATGAAAGGATTGAGAGCTGCCCTGCAGAGAACGCCTTGGGGGTGCTGGTGGATGAAAAGCTGGGTGTGAGCTGGCAATGGACTCTCACAGCCCAGAAAGCCAACTGTATCCTGGGCTGCATCAAAAGAAGCGTGGCTAGCAGGTTAAGAGAGGTAATTCTGCCCCTCTGCTTCACTCTGGTGAGACCCCATCTGCAGTACTGCATCCAGCTCTGGAGCCCTCAGCAAAAGAAAGACGTGGACCTGTGGGAGTGGGTCCAGAGAGGGGCCATAAAAATGATCAGAGGGCTGGAACACCTATGAGGGCTGGCTGAGAGAGTTGGGGTTGTTCAGCCTGGAGAAGAGAAGGCTCTGGGGAGATCTTATTGCGGCCTTCCAGTACTTAAAGGTGGCTTCTAAGAAAGATGGGGACAGACTTTTCAGTAGGGCCTGTAGTGATAGGACAAGGGGTAATGGTTTTAAACTGAAAGAGGGTAGATTCAGACTAGATATGAGGAAGAAACGTTTTATGATGAAGGTGGTGAAACACTGGAACAGTTGCCCAGAGAGGCTGTAGGTGCCCCATCCCTGGAAACATTCCAGGTCAGGTCAGACGGGGCTCTGAGCCACCTGATCTAGTTGAATATGTCCCTGCTCATTACAGGGGAGTTGGACTAGTTGACCTTTAAAGGTCCCTTCCAACCCAAACCATGCTATGATTCTATGGCTGAAGAGAAGTGTGGGAGAACTTATGGGGAACAGTACAACTTCCATTGTACTTCTCTGTCAATAGTTAGATCGGTTCTTGTAACAAATAACTACTAAGCTCTGAATAAATGACATACCAGTTGGCTCATCCAAGGATCTGTATCTCTTACCCATAGGTTGCTTGAAGTAAAACATTTATACAAAAAGGTAGAAAATCAAATAAAAATGGCCAAGATGGTTTTGATGAATGAAATCAATAAACGAACAAACATCCTTCTTGAACAACTTGAAGTAAGTAAGGCTAGTTTCTTTGATACCTTGGGAAATTAAACTAAATTAAATTTAATCCCAGTGCCAATGGAAAGAATATAGACTGTGAGAGATATTGTCCCTTTGCTTCTGTTTTCAAATATTTCTTTTTTTTTTTTTCCTGCAGTATTTTATGTGGAATCAATGGTTGACAAAGATTCAGGATGATGTGGCAAAATGTTTGCTTATCATGAGTTAACTACATTTTCTAATACAGTTACAGAGAATATGTGTGCACCTTTTGAGTACTTTCAAAACAAACCAGCTTCTGGTTTTAATATTTAATTTGTAGAAGACCATGAGCAGCATGTTTAATATCCTGTTTTGAAAATGATCCTCTGGTCTACTTTCTATAACAGAACCTGCAGTTGTGACTCTTCAGTTTTTCGATGTCCAGTTGAAGTATATATTCTATATATACTATAGGATATTATATACTATCTGTACGATTCTATTTTCGAATGTGCTGAGCACAAAACCTGCTATCAGATCTTATTAGAATTTCCCCTTCTCAGTTATTCTTGGGTAATTTTAGCAGGTATTGGAAAGACAAGGCCCTTGGCACTTGCTGGCTACATCTGAACTTACATATTTGACTCAAATATGGCTACTCAGCTAAGTAGCTTTACAAAAAAGAGAAATATGTTCTCATTTTGGTATTATTAAACATTAAGTAAATTCAGCGTTCATGTGTTTTGACAACATTTCAGTGTTTGCCTGAGTTATCTGTAACCATAACTGAACTGTGCATATGCTTGAAGTACACGCACAGTGCTCTGTTGAAGTGCATGTAGGGGGCATCAAATGAAATCAGGAGGTGCCACGTTCAAATCAAACAAGGACAGATAGTTCTTCACATAAATGGTAAATAAGTGTGGAACTCCTTGCTGCAAGATATTGTGCATGAGTTCAAAAGTTAGTTAGACAAATTCATAGAAAAATACACTGATAGTAATAATGTAGCCTCTGTCTTTGTGTTCCCTAAATCACGAATTGCTGGAGACTGGAAGACCATTCTGAGGAAATGCTGCATGCTTCCCCTCTTTTTATATTCTTTGTTGGGTCTCTTCTCTTGCATATTGTAAGAGACAAGAAAGTGGTCCAGGAGCAAATCTGATTCAATTTACACAGCTTTCTTGGGTTACATTATTCTGTTAAACCAAAGCCAGAATGATGTAGGTTGTTTGCTCCTGGAGAAGTCATTGTTCTTCCTGAATTCAGACATATCTGTTGACTAGGATTTGCTTTCTTTTTATGATTGGTGGTTTAAAGAGATTCTAAATAACAGTGTCACTGCAAATAATGCATAATGTAGTGCCAATGATTGTATGCATTATGTATGTCCGAAGAATGACATCTTCTACTGATTACTATTAACAGAAAATCACCAGTGAAAGGAAGCAGAAATTGGAGCAACAAATGCAAGGTGTTGTGGTTTTAAGCAGACAGGTAGAACATGTACAGAACTTCATCAGCTGGGCAGTGTGCAGTAAAAACGGCATCCCATTTCTCTTCAGTAAAGAACTGGTAAGAGCAATACTTATTTTGTCAGTAAATTGTGCAGTAAGCACAATTGTGAGAACTTTTTAAAGGATTTAATGTTTCTTAGATAAAACATTTTTCATGATCTTATAACTGTGAATAAAATCATCATCCTTTGATCTGTTACCAGATTGTATTTCAGATCCAGCGCTTGTTAGAGACAAACTGTAACACAGACATAGGCCCTCCTCTGAAGATCAGATTTACTTGGGATCCCTCCTACTGGACTAAACAACTGTCCAATTTGGGTAAGAAAAATATATTGTTGTTTATTAGGCAAGTGCCCAAAGCTAGACAAGACAGATATAGACAATACAGTACTTCCCCTAAAGTGCTATCCTTTTTTGTTTGGACAACCAGTTTTGTACCTCTTGTCACATACTGAAGAAAAGCTAGTATGGCTGAATTTTCCTGTTTTTCCCTCTGGTTATATCAATTCACCTATTAAGACATCATTATAGATAAGCATTACCTTATAAACATTACCTAGAAATACACTCTATAAATATCATGTTTGATGGTCTTACAAGATCACAATGTAAGAACACAACTACTAGTTTAGTGGAAACACTGTGCAGGACTAAACAAATAACTTTTAACTGAAATTACTTAAAATGTAGTGTCACTGGCTATCAAATAGCCTTGACTTTGTCCAATGTATTTGAAATTCAGTTCTGTCCCAGCAAGCAATAGCTCTCTAGCTACACCACTGTGACTGTGGCAGTCCTGTAAGGAGTACCTTGGGTGAAATGGAGTATCTGCAGTGGGCCTTGTGCTATTATTTCCTTTGCCTTACCCAGGGGCAGATGGGCTCAGTCATGCCTGGGCTTCTCAGATCCTTCAGTATCTTAATGGCCAAGGGACCTGAGCAGTGCTTGAGACACTTAAAATTAATGGGCACAAAGATGGCTTTAAGACATTGGCTGTATAATAATTACAGTGTTATTTATATAATGAATGTGCATACTGTGCTTACTGTGACTTTGTTTCCCACCAGCTATAAATTTCACAACTGCAGTGAGTTTTTACAGTAAATTCAGTTTGGTGGGCCAATCAATGGTCTAAAAGATTGGTTCTCTTCCCATTTTAAGATATTTAAAATTAGATGGTGTAAAACACTATCAAAAGTATTACAGGCAATAATCTTCTCTTGACTAAAAGCATGGACAAGATCAGTTCATAGGTCACTTCTGTTTCTAGCTTTTATGATTCTCACCTACATAACATCAATCTCTTTTATTTTTGTCACTTTCACCCTGGAAGCAGTCTTTTGTACCTGTGCTTATGGATGAGAAGCTATGCTCATACTTTAGTAAAAAATGGAAGTATAAACCATATCCATCAGTTAAAATAAGTTGAGATCAATTTTTCAAAGTATTTGCTGGTAATTCAACCATGAGTTCCCCTGACATCAGTGGGAGTTTGGTGTGATTTTACATCACTGAAAAATCTTGAAAAATTTGTCTTGAAGGTATGTTGAAGGACTGTTTGGATAGGACATTTGAATATCTTTTATATTTGAAACGAGGACATGGAAATGGCCATCATTCACAGTTTTTATTGTGTAAATTTGTCAAGATCATAGGAGGGAGTAAATTTGCTGTTTTTTTCAGGTGGTTTCACTATGGAAGGTGGACAGGTTTCTCACTCAGATGTGCTACTCTGCGGAAATGTGCAAGGATTACAGACCTCCTCGTATCATGGGCACCGTTCACCAGCAACACAGCTGGAGCCTGTGAATAGCCAGCCACATCAGTTTCCACCTGCAGTTCAGTGTCCTACGCCTGTGTGTTGCTCACACTGCCTCAGCACACCTCACGCAAACAAAGCTCAGCCTTCTTACCAAGACATAAACCGCCATCAAAATTTTCGACAACCTCCTGAACTGCATCAGCAGCACTTTCCTCTGCAGTACGCCATGCAGCAACGTGACAAAGACCAAAGGGGTGCCCCCCAGCCTATGAAGCTAACACAGTCTGGGCTGGAACAGCAGTCACGGTCAGAGCCAGAGTATGAGTCCGGGAGGATGGGAAAGCACTTACCATCCCAGCAGCTGCAGCAAACTGCACCCCTGGGTTATGCTGTTGTATCACATGAGGCTCAGCAAGTTCGCACGAGCCATCCGCAGCAATTCCGCGCACAGGCTTCTTTGCAGACATCAACTGTGCAAGTGCAACTTGGTCATCTCCAGAAGATAAAATCTAACCACTTGCAGCAGCCACCACAGCAGCAGCAGCTGCCACCAGCATCACCACCATCAGGTCAGAATGAGAACACTCACAAACAAGTCATCCAGCAGAGCCTGGACATAATGCACCACCAGTTTGAGCTGGAGGAGATGAAAAAGGATCTGGAGCTTCTTCTGCAGGCCCAGGGACAGTCCAGCTTGCAGCTGAACCAAGCTAAGACACCTCAGCATGTTCAACAGACCATAGTTGGTCAAATCAACTACATAGTGAGGCAGCCAGCCCCAGTTCAGCAACAAATCCAAGATGAAGCACAAGTAAGTTCTCTAAAAGTTCTTTCCTATTGCATTTAGTCAATGCAAGCTCAGAAATGGGAGACACCTTTGAGATTCATGTGTTGGTTGAACTTTCTATTGTTGTCTATGTTTGTATTCAGCAGAGGCTTCATGCCTCATGCAGATTGAGCCAAAATTTTCTGTAAAGTGCTGCATAAACAACCTGGATCGCAAAGATCTGAATCTCTAAGTAGACGAGGTGAGTAGCAGGTGGGAGAATAAAAGCATCATTTTTCCTCCTTTGTGAATAGGTAACTGGAGGACTGCAGTAGTTTCACTCTCCATTTCAACTCCTTTTTACTGGAAACTTTAAGCCCTGGGTCCTTGGAAAAGATTTCCTTTTGATTCTGAATGATTAGTGAAAAAAGAATGAAGAACATCTTTTTTTGGTCTGAGAGTTATTTCCCATTCTACTAGTAACTGCTCTTGCTACTGCATCATGTCCTTTAAGACTTTCATCAGTATTCATACATGCTGTTCTGTTACAGTTTTGTCAGCAGCACTAATTTCTCCCTTTTTTTCTCTGTTGGTAAGAATCCTGCTTTTGAAAAAGGGACAGTGCTTGGTGGTAAGCATCCAAACTACAAGGCAGATAAGGTGCAGAATAAGGTGGCTTTGAAACCCATTCAAAACAGTGGGGATTGCAGTAGAAAAGTGGCTGGGACTTCCCACTGTGTAAATTCTGTGGAGTTCCCACCTTGAATAGCTCTCAAAATGACTTACTTGTAGGGGCAGACTGCAGGCTTTTGGAATAGCTGTACATTTCAGCAGCTTTATTGATTTTTATTTTTATTTTAATTCATTAATGTTTCAGAGAAATCTTTCTCTATTCATTTATCTCTCTACTTAGGGGTACTTTGAACAACTTTGTTGTTTTAGTCTTTCCAGTGTTGTCATATTGTGTATGCTGTGAGTTGATGTGAATTTGTTACCATTTTTCTTTCTGAGATTTTGAAAACACACATCCTTAATTGTGATTTGTAGGTCTGTGAGAGTTCCACTGAACCTGATGCCCAGAAACCTGACAGAAGTGATAGTCCCTCCCTGGCACAGTTACTAGATGAAGAAGCCAGTGTGAGCGGTCACTCCGCTGAGAGCACATTGCAACAATCAGCTTTCCACCCAGTAAGGAAGGTATAAAGAACTTTTTTTAAAGAAGTATTTTAAAGGGAAAACGTGGTTTGATAATATTGAATATAATATAGCATTGGAATCTGCAATCAGGTTGAAAAAATTAAAATACAGTAAAAGTTGACAAAATGGCTGTCAATCTTGGAAGACAGTCATAGCCTAACCTAGTGTGCATCTCCCAGTAAGATGCCTACACACTGTGCTGTACCCAGGATCAGCAACGGCTCTATAACTCGTAGTGTTTAGATTTGGCTGGCATGATTGTTAAGCATGAACTGGTGAATGAATAGAAGACCTATTTCTTCACTGAGTAAATTCTGTCCAGTCCCTATCTCTAGGGATTTAACTGTCAAGACTTGCTAATTACCATACTAGCAGCAGTTAATTTGAAAAAAAAAAAAAATCAGAGATTCTGATGAAATCAGGCCTGAGAATCATCCTTCAAAATAGTTGCCCTGGAAATAACAACACTAATTATTACTGAACATGTGGTGTCTGAAAAGGGTATAATTCTGTTATACTCCTCCTTGCTCATGTATAAGCAGAAAAATAATAGATTTCTGTATCTCTAGAATATTTCAGCACATAATAGATTCATGCTTTGATCCTTGCACCTACTGGGAGGCCCTAACTATTGGAGAAGCAGCATAAACAAAACCAGGAAGGCTCATCTATATCAGTAGATCCTTGCTGGCTCTGGATATCACCTGTGCATTTGAGGCAGAGAAGCTGCCTTTTACCTCTCTGTACAGTTTGTTTAAAACACTCCAAACAACACTTCATATTCTGGTTGCTCAAATCTGTTTGGTACTTTTGTGCATGACTCATGTTCTGTACCATGTAGAAGTGTTTCATGGATATTTTTCTTGGAATTTGTGTGCAGAATATTGTGGAAAAACTTGTCTTTCCTTACTAGCCCCAAAAGGAAGTTATTTTATCCTTCTTTATTTAGTATGTAGCTTTGTTGACCCAACATATTTATGATGAAATACCCATTCAGAAAGTTGTTGGAGATCCTTTTGGGAATTGTAGAGACACAGAAAGGTAATGATTACTGAGGATCTGGAAGCAGCATGCAAATCAGATTTGGAAGCCACAAAGAAATCTGCAGTTGCTAACTTAATCCTGTAGATGTTATGACATTTCTGGGTCAGGCTGATGGTATCACAACATTCTGAGATGATGCTCTTTGGCTCTGAACTTTCACATGTGGAGGCAGATCTCCCTCAACCTCTGATGACAGAGCACAGGACTGAGGAAAGCTGTGCAAATTTTCTAGGATAGGGCTACCTTTACTTTAGGATATGACTGTAAAAATTGAAGATATGTATTTAAGCCCTGAGCAAGACAATGAACCTAAGCACATACTTTTCTTGTAATGCAGACACACCCTCAAAGTTATTTGTGAAAATGAATGATGATGCTAACCAACTAGCTTTCAGAGGCTTTTTCTACATGCATGTTGAAGAAGCTGTCCTTTTTCTTCTGGACCTGTAAAGGAAGGTTACTCCCAACAGCTTAAACAAGAAAAGTCAGAAAGAGGGTAGAAAATGGAAGCAGGTGTGCAAGAGAGAGCCTAGTGTAGTCTGATGGGAAAAAGAGGAGAAAAAAAGGAAGAAGGGCTGATTCATTGCTGTACAAGCTGAGAAGGCAGCAAGAGGAGGATAATCCTAGAAAAAAAAAATGGAAATTTTTCTAATGGTGCTGAGAAGTGTATGCTCTTGTGCAGAAAGCACAGGTGTCTCTGTTTTTTTACTAGTTTCCTGGTACCTCTGCAAGAAATGAGGACATTCAACTGCTACAGTATCCCCCATCTTTGATTGTATTTATCTCTTGTAATGAGCTGTTTGGGATGAAGCCATAATGTACTGACAGCTCTGGCAGTGGCTAATTAGAAATGATGAAGGGAAGCAGGACAATAAGGAAACCCTTGAAACAGATTCTTCATGAATGCTGTTTAAAGATGTCTGCTTTTGCTGACAATTAGATTAAATCTACATTTAAATAGGAGATTGGTTCCTATTTAAGAACAAGGGGATGTGTCTATTGAGTCTCATCTCTGTTTCACCTGATTAAATATTTGCACGGTCATGTCCAGACAAAAATATCTGTAGAGGTATTTGTCTATTTATTTTCATATGGCCTGTATTCAGAACATTTAATCTCTCTCAAGTTCTTGGAGGACATGGAAAAAGTGAAAGTGGTGAAGTCTAAAATACTGCACTTGGAAAATACGGTGGAGAAAATGGCTAGAGAAACCTTTTGCTACCTGTAGAAGAGATGTATTCTGCCTTTTGGAGAATAATTGGTATTGGACTTCTTGGCCTTGTGTTGCAGTTCTGTTGAACTCTGACAGGGTTCGTTGTGCACAGCATTCTTAGTGGAGTAGGTAATTCTCTGGCTACTGAGATTCTCTCATTAACAAGAAAGCAGTGTGAACCATGATGTAGAAAAACTCAGAATTAACTGTTTAGTGGTACGTTTGCCAAGATCTGTCAAAAAAGAAAAGCTTCCATTAGCCCAGTGGTTTCCTTTATTTTGGAGGGGAGCAAGACTTGATTGCTCATGTAATTAAACATCTGTGCATTAATTTTGAAACATGTTTATGGTATGCATTTGAATACTATTGGCTGATAACTAGATGAATTGTCTGCATATGGGATCATATTTATGTGTGAAGCAATATAGAGCAGATGCTATTAATAGTTTGGGATCAAAACATTACTCATAAACGGGGAAACCACAAGTACGTTATTCAGATCATCCCAGACAAGTGCTGGTGCAGCCGTTACACCACGGTGTGAGGCACACGTATGCCATGTGAGTGCCTTTGAGTTCAAAGAACGCCTGTTTAAGTTACTCTGATGAGTACTGTTTTCTGTCCCTCACATTTCAAGCTGTTTATTGATAAGGAGAAGGAGAGAAGCAAGGATGAAACATTTTGTGCACTTGTAAAATGTCCTTGTGTGTTAGATTTCACCATCTATCAGGACAAAAAATAAATCTAGCTTCAATGAGCAGACAGAATTCTGGCTTTCCAGTCATATAAAATAAGGTTTTCTAGCTGGTGTTGATCAGAAACATTGGCATCAAGGCTATTGCTGTCTTAAAGTTCAGAGTAATTCCTGTCTGTGCCTACCTGCTCTCTATGTATGTGTACAGTATAGTCTCTAAACATGTAACTTCAGTTATGTGTGGGCTTATTTTCATTTGTTTCACTGTTTTTGGAACAGTAATGGTGATATTTTTTCAGCCTTTCTGTCTTCCTGTGTATTCCTCTAACTATTCTTTCTCTGTGAATTGCATTTTTTGTGCAGAATAAATGTTTCTATACTTAGACCATTGATTGTTTGACATAAGTCAAGTACTGCACTTAGCATAACTTTGGGCTTGATTAGCACCTTTTAAGAATGCAACACTAGAAATGAAAGTTTCCTGTCTATGTACAAAATGGATACCATTTTCTCTTCACGCTCCCCTGTCAGTATACTTCACTCATGTAGCTGGGACCTCTGTTTTGGATCATGGAGTTATTCTGTCTCCATGCCTGTCAAATACCCAACCTCTCCAGTAAGAATGCCAGCAAGACAGAGGACAAATCTCAGAATAACTTTTGTGATACCTGCACTTTTTTCTGGGGAATCGTGCCAAGCTCTGGTAAACAGATTTTATACAAGCTATTGAATTGCTAAGTTGCAGTGTGAAGGAATGAGTACTCAGTTAGATTAACAATTTTGTGGAAAGGGTTACCAACCTTCTGGAATGATACGGTCCTCCTGTTGCTTTTACATACTATGATATTGAGTTATTAATTTGCGCACAGGACTGGAGAGGTCATCTATTCTGGAGCAGAGGCAAAAATAATAAGATATTTTTGGCCTAATTGTGTTTTCAAGTGTAATAAAGGGCATAAAATTCCTGTTTTGCTTACATGTACCTAATTGTCATTTGTGGCTGTGATGAGCAAGAGGTCTAAAGGCTGTACCTAGCATTTGAAGAAATGTCATAATTACTGTACTATAGCACAAATTTGTAGTTTGAGCCTCAGGTACTGCTGCAACAGACATTGGCATTGTTGCAGGGCCAGCTGGACATCTCTCCTCCTCAGAGCCATAAGTGTACCCCTTTCTCTAGTTAGAAGCAGGGCCTTTCTTCTGCGAGGGAGGATTCCTTGCCTTGTCCAGCTGTTGGCTTCGGTCCTGGGCAGTAGACTACTCTGTACCATCCCCACTCATCCGAAAAACCTAACTGGCTTGGGCATTTGTGGTTCTGCCTTCTGGGACACTGATCAGTTGTGAGTAGATTGGACAGTGTTTGTCAAACCCATGTTTGGTTATGTTCCTTAGAAAACTTTGAGGGTTTCTTCCCTTGAGCTATTATTTCACCTTCTGCTTAAAATAAATCTCTGAATACGTCATGCACTTGATTAGTAAATTATTACTGAACAGCTGTATCTGTTCATGTATAGCTGTAGCCAATAGCAGATGCTTAGGAAAGGGTATAATAAACAGATGAATATAAACTGATCCTTTTATGATACACTATCCCAGCTTCTGAAAAACAGCATGTTAGGGATTTTCCGATATGAAGGTTGCACCCAGACAATTGTGTTTTGCAGCTCTTCATGGTCCCCTCCTCTGTGAATTTGTCTAATCCATTTTTGGAGTCCATTTTAATACTATTGGTCTCCTCAGCATTCAGCAGCGACTGAGTTTTGCATAGCATGAGAATTTCCTCTGTTTCCTTACTTTAAGTCTGTTGCCTGATAATTCAGTAGGTTGCCTTCTAGTTCTTGTGTTAGGAAAACCAGTGAATAATCACTCTATATTCACCACCTTCATAATATCCATATTTTATAGGTCTATATTGAATTTCCTCTCAAACATTTGTTTTTAAAGCTGAAAAGTGATTGCTGGTCTCTCTAGTGTAATTTTTTTTCATGGAAGCCATTCTATACTTTGGCCCTTTATATCTTTGGCCATTTTTCCTATATTTTGTGAGTTTGATAAATCCTTTTTGAGACAGGGTGACCAGAAATAGTAATCAAGGTGTAAGACGTGGAAATTTTGTACAGTGCTATAACGCTGATTTTTGTATTGTTCTTTCTGATTTGCAGTAAGTCCCAGCTTCTAAGTTCAAGAGCTCTGTCTGTCTCAAGCACCATAAAGTAGCTGAAATGGGGAAATCTAGAAAATATTCCATGCCATCCAAGCAGCACTCTTGAGAGCACTCTGAGAGAGGCTTCTGTTTTATTCCAATTATATGCAATGGTGGCATTTCATGCAAGACTAACGTAGTGACAGTTCATGGTGGAACCTCTCAACCTCTCCTGGGACTTGATGCATGTGAACTTCTAGGCTCTGACATGCCAGTGCTGCTGTTACTACAGGATTATCAGAGAGAAGAGTTGATCTCAGTCTGCTGTAGGTGGCTTTCTTGGGTATTTTGCCCCAACACATTTGTCCTAAGCTTTATTATTGACAACTCTTCCATCTCGGTGGCAAGTGCTTAACTAGTGATTTATTTTGGTTTTTGTTTTTGTTTTTTTTTTCTTTAAAAGCATGCGAAATTTTTGGGAGAGGGGTTGTGGGGCAAAGTACAGGTTTTATTTTTATTAGTATTGCACTGAGCATGTTGTGACTACTTAGTGACTGAAAGTAATAATAATTTAATACCCTACCCTAGGACTTAAAATCTGAACTTGGGACCAGGGTGAGTTTGTTGTTGCTGTTTTTTTTCTAATTACTCTTAATTTTAGGGGGATTAGAGGTGAAGGAAGTAATGACAGCAGCCTGGACTTTAGGGTCCTGCAAATTCCTAAAGTATCAGACTATTTTTTGACTTTAAAGAATTGAGCTGCTTACAGCACAAATGCGTTCATGCTTAATGCAATTAGATACATTTCCCAGAATGTTAATTTAACAAAACCTTTTCCTTTGACCTGGAAAAAAGGATAAATAAAACATGATGCTGCTTGCTCCATACAATCTCTTCCTCCTTCCGCTTTAAGCGAGCTCCAGTTTATTCAGACAAAATGTTAAGGAAGATTTGGATTCTTTTTCTCATAAAAATGGAAAGGAAATCCTTTAGATTCTATTCTAAAATTGGGAAATATGAATAGGAAGCATGTGTAGACTGTGCTATCAGTGCTGCTGTGTGCGGTGAGTTAAACAACTGGATTGGAGTAGTACATTTGTTTAACCTCCTAGCATAATGAGCTGCCAGGGGGATTGCTCCACTTAATAGCAGCCGTTCATTACTCTGCAACCATTTGCAGCGTGTTATTTCTCTTATAGCAAAGAGAATTGGCGGTTCCTAGTTTTAGCTTTCTTTATCTGTGACACTTAATGTCAACAGCCTTGAGACTTGCCAAAACAATCCTAACAAATCCTAATCCCAGTGTTTCAAGGTAAGTATTTGCTTCTCAGAATTCTTCTGTATTAGTGCTGCATGTTTACACTGCACCTTTTTAAATGCAACAGTGATCAAAGAAATATTTGAACTGAACAATATGTTTATTTTTTGTTCTCTGAAGGCACTTTGCATGTTCTTTCTTCTTACCTTTCACTACCATAGCTATGAAATTTGTGGTAGAAGGCATTTTGGGGTGGTGATGCTGCTGCCATTATATTATAAGGACCATCAGACCAAAATTAATTATGAGACAATGAGAATTCCACATATAATGACACAGATGTAGTTCGATGTGCCAGGCTGTACATTAAAATGTCAAAAGTTTCAAAATTAACCTACAGCTGAAGTCACCCTCTACTCAAGAGCATAATTAATGCTTGTTGTTGTTCAAAGGGTGCAATGTAAAAGTAATAGAGCTTTTATAAAACAGAGATCAATTCTTTAAAGGTATCCCATTTGCAAAAACTAGCTGAACTGTCAAGGGAAAAGAGAAATTTTTGCTAATGGCAAAAGAAATGATTATTTTAGGGAGTGAATTAATAGGCTATTAATGAGCCTTGTTCCCAGTGCATTGTTCACTTCACACTTGACAGCAGTTCCATGGATCAGAATGGAATGTGTCTGTTCTTAACTGTGAGTTTTAATATTTTGCACTGAAAGATCATAATGTTGCTTCATCATTAAAATAACCACAAAATTAACTTTTGCCCCAAGGGAAAGACAGATGGCAGTTTGATGGCCTCATTATTCTTTTTTCTTTTTAACAAGAGTAAGGTTTTATATTGGCTTATATAGTCTAAAAAGATCTCTGAAGAAACTGATGCTAGCTAGAAGAGTAAAAAAGATACAGCCATATAATGCAATTGAATTTCACCTTTCTAAAAATTTTAGTTATGACAGTCTTATGCATGTGTCTATTTCTTTTTTTCTGCAGTAGGAGTTGTCTCAGTGACTACTCCCAGTAAGTAAACTTGTCTCACCGAAGCCAGGAGTAATCCTACCATTGTCTTAGTAAGGCTAACATTTTGCCTGCAGTGTATACAGTTACACACAGTCGGGTCTTCACAGGGTCAGATCTCAATACGTAATAGATGATGGCACGTTCTCGTAACATAAGTAAAGGAACATGTGTGTAGTGATTAGAAGTGAATAGCCACAAGGTCTCCAGTTAACTTGCTATGCAGCTTTGGGTGGTGTGGCGACCACATGTGTGCCTCAGCATGCCCATTTCCAATGGAGCACAGCATTACGTAGTTCCTATTGACTCAGACAGGAATTTGTGGATGCTTTGTGCTTTTGAGAATCTGGCTAAATAAATATCTAACTACCTCACAGGGACTTAATTAATGCCCACAATGGACTTTGAAATAAGGGGAAAAGGCAAAGGTGATTACAGTCCATCTGTTCCGTTCAAGCACGAATTCTGCTTATTTGTTATATTTTCTGTAAGTGATATGAGAATAATTCACATGCTCATTTTGTCATCTGAAAAAGGCTTGTGATAAAGAGAGTGATGGAATGAAAAGGGAAATGTGTACTCGATAGGCCACATTTGTCACTGCGTAGGCAGGAACCCGTCAGAAGCAAATTATGACAGCAAATGAACATTTTTGATCTTTGTGGATTTCTTTAGGATGTGTGACCATGAAAGCTGGATTCCTTTCTGACCTACATATATCCCTTTGGTTTGAAACCTAAGCATTCTTAGGAATGCTCTATCAGACAGAGTATATGGAAGATTGTGCCTCCAACAATGCATTTCCTCATTTGCTGTGTTCTAGTTTTCAGCTCAAATGTAAGGTAGAAAGAACGTGTTTGACTAGTTCCAGCTGGTTCCAAGAAGCTATTATAGCTCAGACAGCTTAGATTCAGGGACATTCATTTTCCTCAAGAGGAGAAAAATGGCCAATACCCCGGCTGCAGAGACCCGGTACATTCTGGGGTGCCTTCTACATGGAAGGACTGTTTAAAACAGACTTACTAGAGCACTGTGTGGTAGAATGGCACAAACCTTCCCTAGTGCTGCAGAAGAGCTGACCTCTTTCTGTCTCAAATGCAGGCTATTTTGTCTCATCAAATATAAGTGGTCACTGTTCAGGCAAAGCTCCTACTGTAGTGTCTATTGCAAATTGAGGAAAAGGAAATTAAATTCCATCCTTAGGTGGGAATTAATGTCTGCGGGCAGAGTGTTCTCTTAGTACACAGGTGGTATGCATTGCAAGCAGAGGAATTCAAGACTGACTTCTTTGGCATTATGTACGATTTACACAGGCACAGCTGACAGCTCAATCTAGGCTACTGTCTTTACCACTGTTGGATTAAGATGGACAAAGTTATCAAAATCCAAAATGGAGTAACAGTTGAGAAAAATACTAATTAAATCTAGGAAATGGGTTCTGTCTCAGATTCACTTCTAAGTCACAGGCCCCTAGCAGAAAAATAAGTACAACAATGAAATTAAACTCTAATTCAGATGCAATCAACACATTTCTTTTGTCTTCATTTATATTATGAGTGCTACTTACTGTACTGTAGTCAAATGAAAAGGATTTATTCAGTCAGTTATCGAGGGTGAAACACCAATGAACTGTGATGAAATAAACGGAAAATTACATATTCAAATGACACAGATCTGCATACTTCTTAAGACTGCTTATATTTGCTTCATATGGATGCTAGAAGAGTCCTGATTTCAGTACAGTCACACATTCCAGGAGTAAGGCAGCTTAAGGAAGTCACCTAGATGGGCGGATTTGCTTTGTTTTGCATGACAGTATTTCTGTGGTTTTGACAGTGACAAATCATGAGACAGTAGAAAATGCATGTTGCTAAAACTATTTCAGAGACTTTGGTAAATACTACTTTTCTTTGGAAACTAGACATGTACATCCTTTCCTTGTTAGTACATGTAAGATGTTTCTGGATTTACACTATGATAGTTAAAGGGCAAATGCCTTAGGTTTTAGTGGGACAGACTCACTAACTAGCATAAAGTTTTCAGCATCATTAACAGTAACAATAGGTTCATCCACTTGTGTCAGATCTGAATAGTATTTCTTCTGAATCTTTCTGAATAAAGTGATCTGATGATTTTTGAATAAAATGATAAAATTTCTGATCTGAATCTTATTTCTTCTGCAATAACTTAACAGAAGCTAGGAGGGTTTATATCAAGGATTGATTTAGTACAATATTCTACATGCTTAGATTTCCCATTCTTCGTAGGGAGTTAAAAATCGGGATCCCTTGGTCTGATCAAAGGAAGACATTTTTTGTAAATCACAGAAGAGTCTCCTTTTCCAGTTTTCAATTTTAATGGTAGAAACTCTAAAGCTTTGGAAATGGTATAAGATTATAGTAGATACTTTCAGGACCGCGTGACACAACTGGTTGATTATGTATAGCTGAAACAGAGTATCTCATCCAGTATAGAAGGAACAGTAGCATTTTGCTGCTGAAAATCTTATTAACATATTGGGTTTTTTTTCTTTTTTTTTCTTTTCCCAGCATTCAGCATCCTTAAACATTGTGGGCTTTTCAGACGGTTTAGAAATGGAATTACCTTCCACAAGGTTATCTAGCTTGGCCGATCCACAGACGCAAGGTGCAGCTGCTGTAACACTTGGCCCGTCCCCAAATGTGCTTTGTGACTGTGATACTCCACCAGAGTCGGTGTCCAGCTATAGCTTGGCGTTGGGCAGAACTCCAAGTGACCTGAACCCTGGGGCTGCCACTGGCCTTGCACCAGGTGATGCACTCCAGGGCAGCACAAAGTGCAAGGTAGGAATCACTAAAACTCCTCTACTGAAAGGGAGTCTGCTTTCATTGATAGTAAATATTATTAGTCAGTCAGTCAAAGGCAGCTATTTCAGTAAGTAAAGTTTTCCTTATCTGGTATTTGAAGACTTATTACAAATTATTTTCTTAAGATGGAAAGAAAGAAAACTATTAATAAAATTCGATTATTTTTTTTTTCCCTCCCCTGAAGCTGGAAAATGAAGACTTCAATACTGTAGATCATCCTCTAGAAAACAGCTTGGCTACTGCTGGGCAAGATGTAGTTAATGAATTAACTCTTTCTATGCAAAAAGTGCTGGAAGAACCTATTAATCTTTCAATCAAAAAATCTCAACGTTGCACTTCTCCTTCTGAGCTGCTCAGCAACACTTCTTTCCTGCCTGTGAATGCCAGAATGAGACAATTTAGAAGCAAAGAAGGTACCAGGCTTTTCATTATTTCATTTAGGTTTTTGGTCTGTCTTTCTTAACACTGTGCCTTGCAAGCATTGCAAAGCAGTATGCTTATTAATGTACTTACATATAAATGCGCTTTTCCAGCAAGCTTCAAATATTATCAGAGTATTTAATCCAATGGAAAATCATGTTTGTTCTCATTTGTGGAGGAAAAACATGGAAATGATATGCTTTGAATTTGTAACATCCTTCATCTATGAACCAGAAATAAGCGTGTCCATGTGAAGTACCTGGAGTATTAGTTCTCTTAGAAGCAGTCCTGTTAATGAGACCTGCAGTTATGACTATTGAAGAGCTGGTTTGAAGAGTCCAAATTCAATTAAAAAAAAAAATTACTTCCAAAATGTAATGTGCCTTCTGCTAAGTCCTTCACATCAGTAGCATAGCAAATTTTTGTTAGGTTAATATATTGCATAGTGTGTGCTTTTGCTTGGCTCTGTCTACTGTGGAACACTCCCTTCAGCCAAGGCCTATTTCTTCAGCCTTAATGGAGAATTAGACCTTACTTAACTCTTTTCATGGGCAAATTGCCAGCATCCTTGTGCTACACTGTAAAGCCTCATTCCTGCAAACTCTAAAAGTCAATGGGACTATTCATGCAAGCAAGGGATTGCAGGATCAAGCTGTTATCCTGTGACTTATGCCAATATTTGGCTGGTTTTCTCTGTAAAAGATGAATTAATATTTCTATCTCTATGCTGTATTCAGAGAATTCTAATTAGTACAAAGGAGGCCTAGCTCAGTGAGCCAAGGAAATGTATTTGTCTTCTCTTAAATGTACTATGCCAAATTGTGACAATTATGCCACAATCATTTGTGTGAGTTGTAAGAATCAGGCACACCCCTAAAAAGCTGTGCCTCAGTCAGGCTTAAGTGTCTCTGAGAGGAGCAGCTTTGTAGTATCTGGTTTGGGCTGTGTGACACTACATACAGAAAGCAGCCCCAACATACAAAATCTCACTATAACAGATGCTACAAATTTGCTCTGTGCAAACCGCAGGTCCTGTTGTGCAAGAGAATGGAAAGACTAGAGTGTTGAATTCAGTGCTGCTCCCTTCTCACAAGGAAGGAGCAGGAGTGAGCAATTCCCATCCTGCTCTCACTGTTTAAAGGTGTACTGTGAGGGGACACCTGAGGAGATACAGGCACCATATGCAGTGTGCACCAGTGGCAGAGATTAACTCTGTTGCAAAGGCAACCTTGTCTTTGCTAGTGGTCTCAGTAGGACTTACTGGCTTCAGCAGTTGCTTTGTTGCCCAACCCCACTGCTTCTGGTATATATCTCCAATGATGCATCCTTTTCTAAAAGAAAATCTAAACATTTCAGCTTAATTTACAACAAAATACTTCTTATTCTAGCCACAAGGGATGTGCTAAAAATTGTACATTATTTCATCATTTTCCCTCTTACAGACACTTCTCTTCTTATCATGGCTTGTGTAAACACCCCCCCCCCCCCTTCTCTTTCCTAGACTAAACAAATCTGATGGTTTCAGACTCTCTTCATGGGTCAGGGTTGTGATTTCTTAAACCCACCTCCTTCCTGCTGCGCTATTCTGGGTTGTCTGCAATTAAGGATTGCTGCCCACAGCCAAAGGCAGTGCTGCAGCTGAGGCCTCTGGGGTGCCATGCAGAGCCAGGGTATCAACATCTTGCGTTTTACATTCCTCACTGCTGGTAATACACTGCAGGACAGCATTCACCTTTTGACTCGCATGTAGTGAATGGACCACATTAACCCTTAGTTTCTTCTACAGAACAGTTCCCTAGTCAGTTATTTTCCTTTGTGATTACATTCATCTGATCCTTCATAAGCATAATATTTTCAGGTACCTCAATTCAGTCATTCTGATTTAGGAGATTCTTTTTCTCTGATGTACTAAGATCACTTTTTAATTATAAACCTTCTCCACAGTGTTTGCAACCCCTCTAGTGGTGTTTTCCACAAATTTTATAGGTACTATTATTTCTTGAGCCAAGTAGCTGATGGAGGTGTTGATTAATATTAGGAACCCAGCACCACTAGAACATCCTCTGGTTTGACAGCATGCAATGAGAGCTGCTCCTTCAGCTCAGTGTGCCGTCACCCTTTAGTAATTCTGTCCAGAGCCATGACTATCACCCTTCACCTGAGCAACAATCACAAGCAAATAACACTTTAGGAGTGATATGAGATGCACTTTTCCTTGTCAGTCTTGATTGTATTGTGTTTCCTGTGGGCTGGGAACAATAGAGTATCTTAGAGGCACATTGCTTTCAAGCTATGGGTTACGTACCATTGACCTGAGCTAGATTTTCTTTAAAAAAACATATTTTCCTGGCACTCATTTATCTCCAGATAGCCATGATATTTGGTTTGTTTTCTTGTTAGTATTGTGTCAAACTAATTCCTAACAAAAGGAGTTACTATGAAATTTGAAAGGGGACTGGTATTTATGAGGGCATCTACTGGGGCATTCATCTCTACCCCAACCCATTTCTCCAAAGTTGTTTCGTTACTCTTGCGCCTATTATCAGTCAAGAGCTACAGTTACTTGCATAACAGATAGTTTTGAATTCATATGTTTATATATTACATACCTTGGAGGATAGAAAGGAGTCATATACAGTGTAGCTTTCATCCCCCAGTGGCAGATGGGAGACACAGCTTCCTTCCTGTTTTCAAGTAACCAGAATTATCCAAAGGCTGCTTAGCATGGAGCCGGAGACTGCAGAGACTTCATGAGCCTCAGGGGTTCAGACCTTAGTAGGTCTGTTTTTTTCAAATGAAGGCTGTATAGCAAAGAGGATTACTTATGTTGTTCCATGTATATGGATGAAAGTGGCTTGGCTGTGTACATATATAATTCCCCGGGGAATGTAACCATTTTGACAAAATATTTTGGAAAGGCTCCTCATATTCAGTACAGAAGCTGTGGTTAAAAGCAAAGAGAAAGGAAAAGACTGTATCCCAGAATAGAAAATAGCATACACATTTTCTATACATATAGATTAAATGATTCCATAATTCACTTATTATATCATATTAAACACCAGTCAGAAGTACATGAATATCGAAGTACTTTCTACCCTAATCTGACTCTGATATTATAAATATTTTATTCATTTTCTTATCTTCTGTTCCAGATTCCAGTAACTGTGAAAAGGAACATTTTGAAATGGATATGAAAAGCAATCAGGATGTCAGGTAACAGAGTCTTTTTTTGTACAAAAGTACTGGCCATGAAATTTTATGCATGTATTTAGAAAATTTGTCATACTTAATGATAACGGAAAACTTAAAAAGAATGCAAGATTCCTTATCAATAATAACTATGAAAGTTGTAAAGTATTCTCTTTAACTTGAAAACAACAATTTAAAAGAAGTGGTGAGTTCATGTATTTCTGTTATTCTGTGTTATTTTCCAGAATGAATAAATATTTGCAAACTTATCTTACTTGAACAATTAGAAACTGTTTAGCCCCAATTAAACCTAAAAAATATAATGGGAACAGGATTAACATTATCTCAACAACCTTATAAAGTAGTTTTCAGCTATTGCTGTGATAATATTTTGAAGTAAAGTTGATGAGGTGCTGTGCTCCTGCTTGAAGCCAGCTACACTGAAAAGTATCAAGCATGACTTAAACTGGAATAATTAAAACAAAAATATACAGAGCAGGGCAAAGTTTTAGCACAGAAGTTAGTAATGCATTTACACGTATGATTAATTTAAAGTGATTGCACTCACATTTCTTAAAGAATTGGCATGTGAAAAAACATCCAGATTTTCAGCGTTTAGCCAGCAGAGTCACAGTTACAAAAGGAAAGAAGCACAAACAATAGTGTGTGAAAAATGTTGAAAGTCAGCAGGGAGGAGAATTTTGTGGAATATGACTGAATTTAAGCATCTGTCATTTTGATTGTAGAGCTGGCCCTAAGGAGCAGAAGATCCCCTACGTGCGACTAGAACGTCTGAAAATATGTACATCAGAAGCGGGGGAGCTCCCAGTGTTTAAGCTCCAGCCACAGGACAATGAGCAGGAGGGCAATTTCCTCCTGATAACTGAATGTGGGACCCAGTCTTCAAGTATGTCGATAAAGGTGAGTGGAATTTCCGTGAGGCTTTACCTGCTTTCTCCTCTTTATTCCACTGTCTTGAACCCACAGTTTCTGAAAGTTATTATACACTAAACAAGTCTGTTGATTTATTCCACCCTTGGAAACTTCTGTGATGGGTTAAAGTAATAGAGAATACAGCTTTTAGTTTGCTGTGTAGCTCCCTGATACTTCAATTTCTGAGAAGTCTGTCTCTGGGATTGGATAGCTGTAGTGTTTTTGTAATCTAGCAAACAACCTGGCTCATCTGTCTAGTTACAAATACAGTATAAATAGCTTAAAACTGACCTGAATGCATATTTGAGTGATAGAAACCGATTCCAGAAATCACAGCATAAAAGATTTTTAAAAGCTTTGTATTCTGTTGCTTCACGGGAGTCTTGAGTGTGAACTTTCCACAGAAGGAAATGGGAATTTCTGTGGGAACAAAAAAATGCACTTTTTGTTTGTTTGTTTGTTTTGAGCTGTTCACTGTAAAATTTGCAAATAAGATTGTAAAGTATCCTGTTTCTATCATCTGTGATATGAAATCTGTACAGCTCTCTCACAGTGCTATTACATTGTGGTGTGTGGAGGAAATGACTTGACCAAGGTGACCTGGCCAGCCAGTGGCAGGCGTCGAGCTGAGCATGGGCCTGCTGAACTCCAGTGCCCTCTCCAGTAGAGTTCACTGCAGAGAAACCATTTTGTCTGCAGACGACTACTGCTGCTGTATGCTTATATATGGAAATGATGGTTGTGTGATCCCAGATTTTTCTTCCTTCAAGATAAATAAAGATGGTCCACCTGAAGGACTGAAATCCAAAGAGAAGAACTCAGAGGACAGAAAATTTCTCATATCCCAGGCTGCAGGACAGACACAGTCTCCTCCTGTAGATAATCTGTCTGTTGATCAGAAGCTCAGCAATGGCATCTCCACCATGAAAAAACCTCCAGTTACTCAGGAAGTCAATCCAATTGAAAATGAGGATTTCTGTGCTGTGTGTCTTAATGGAGGAGAACTGTTGTGCTGTGATCACTGCCCCAAGGTCTTCCATCTCTCCTGCCATGTTCCAGCCCTGCTCAGCTTTCCAGTGTATGTATGACATTTCGCTAATATGCTCAGTTTCTGCTTACTGCCTTGGGGCAGAATATGTCCTCGGGGTTGTATGTGTCAACCTTACACAAGGGCAGGGACTGCATCTCTCACTTGCCTTTTTTCTTACTTTTCTTGCAAAGGGGAGAATTGTCTTACACACTAGGAACTAGATGAATTATTAACAAGAACTGTTTCCAGTCATGTATGCCCTTTCTGCAGTTAGCTGGCCAGTACAACAAAGGAGATGGCAGACCTGAGCTTTAAAAACATTCTTACGACACCGGAGAAAAATAAAATCCTAACTCTCCTGTAACAACTGTGGTGTAGACGTCAGCTCTTCTCTGCAAGAACAGTGACTAGCACAAAGAAAGGGCAACCAGTGAGTTCCTATTCAGTGTTCTACCCAGTTTTATGGGAAATATAGGATTATTGGGGCTTTTGTGGAAATGTTTAGGACATTGGTTTCCCTAAGACATATCTTCTCTAGCAACTTGTCACAGATGAATTGTACGTGACAAAGAGCCAGAATGAGGTGTATGTCCACATACCAAACTTCAAAACTGAGGCTGAATGATGTGCGTTACTGGTGGTGTGTAATCTAAATTCTGTTACAAATCATTATCAGGTGGGACCAAAGGCTACTTCATTTGTGCCAAGCCCAAATAACTGTCTCAGCTGAGAAAAATACATTGTCAGATATTAGTTTAGAGATTCTGGTTTGTTCTTTCTGTTCAAAAAGCAGGAATTTCCATCTCTTGGCGTTTTACTCTTTTCTCTAATAGCCAAGTCATTATTAAACATCTAGTTTCAAAACAATGTGAAACCCAGGTTTTCCTTTTAAAATAAACTTCCTAGGCAAAGTTAAATTATAATGAAGTAAATTAATTTCCTTAGATAAAGTTCTGTAATCATAGTTCTTTAATATACCTTAATCTATAATTATTCAGGCCCTGATGTTGCAGAAGTTGCATCACTGCCTTTATGAAATTCTTCAAGAGGTTTCTGAAAATGGATCTACTGGGAAGGAAACTTATGCCCATGCAGAATTATGTCTTTTTGGTTTGGGGACCTGTGTACTAGCACACATTATCACCATTTCTGATAATGCTGATTTCTTAGATAAATATGTCAATTATCATACCAATTGATAATAAATATATCAATTATCAAACAGATCTGGTTTTGTCTTATGATCCAACTGTTGGCTATTTTTCCTTAATATTTTTTTTAAAAACAGCACTTGAACCAATGCAGGTGCACACACTGCTGGTACATGATTTCAAACACTTAGTATTTTGTCTTTTTCTTTTTTTCTGTGACAGAAAAAGTGCAATGAGTAGAATGTGAAATTATTACACTTCTAAAGATTCAAATCTCTTGAAGAACATCTAGTACAACGGGCTTCAGATTGCTTGCTATTGTAATACTAGTTAAGGATGAGACTTGTTTCCAAATACAGTGATTTGTGAGAATTGTTATTTGACAAGGTGGCTGTCAAGTTTCTGGCTTCTTGTTTGGCAGGGGAGAGTGGGTGTGCACGCTTTGCCGTAATCCAGTGAAGCCGGAGGTAGAATATGACTGTGAAAACACACGCTACAGCCAGAGCTATAATGCGCAATATGGCCTTGATGACTTTGACCAGAAGGTGGGAATAACTATATATTGTACTATTTAGAAAAGGACAGATCTCAGCATGAGGCTCTGCTTTTTCATTGGAAAGATGACTGTTTTGACTTGGTTGCCACTTGAATGTTTCAGAGAATAGTAAATACAACAAAAGCATTGTTAGTAACTTGTTAGTATTCAGTTACATCATTCCCTTCTATGTAGACATCGCTGTTCAATTTTAAAATGAATGACATATTTTAGAAAGACGAAACAGGCAGATCTGGAATTCCTTTCTCCTTTGAACAGGGAAGTCACACTTAGCAGCAGAACAAGATTGCCTGAGCCAACTTTGCCTGGCTTTCTGCCACTGAATCTTTTTCCTTTAAGACTTGGCACCTTCTCTGGCATCTACTTCGGCCAGTTGCAACAACATTTTTGTGATGCAGACACTTTTTGACTTTTGGTTGGATTGAAATCATTATACCGTCTTCTTAAGCTTATCTCTTTACATCCCCATTATCAGTTTCCTCTACCAAATCTCCCATGAAAATATGCCTTTTCTTAAAATCCACTTGGTACTCAGAAGCCATGAGTTCCAAATAAATGTCCTGAGTATGTTGGTGACAGCTGGACAGGGAGGCTAAGTCTGCACAGCTGAGTGCACATACAGAGTTGGTCCTGCACAAATGAAGCCTAGAATAAGGCATTGGTCTAGTCTGGGCACCATACATAAAGACAACAGCAATGGTTCTTAGATCACTGGGGCCCCTTGGCAAGGCCTATGAGCATAGGAACAGCACTGCTCAAATTCATCCATGCTGTTTCCAGACCTGAGCTACTCTGTCCATAAAGAGCTGGACATAACTTCTTGACATTGATGTGATCCCTGTTTCTACTGGATTGGGTACAACTGGCCAGAAATAGTTGGGATCTTGACTAGTGAGAGTCTATTTAGAAAATTGATTTGATTAGAAATTCCATTGCTTGTGAGCAAACATGGCTTATAATGTTTTTGTAGTGCATTTTTTTGCATCAGTGAAAAAAAGCAAAGACAAGTATTAGTATTTTACAAGTTAATGATGATTAAATGGAATTGTTTTCATACAGTACTACCAACTACATAACTTACATCCATTTGTATGAATGGATAGGAACAGTGTGAAACATTTTCCATTTAACTGTTTCCACACTGTTGCTGCTGTTCTTTTAGTCAAGAGCCAAGGAATAGATCTGGAGTCCAGAAAGGAAATAGTAATAGCAATGAATCCCCAAGAGTTTCCAGGAAAGCTACATGCATACACAAACTTTTACCTAATGTTTCTTTTCTTGCATTTCTTGACTATCCTCATTTTCAAAACTATGAAAATGTTATGAGGCAAAAAGTCCCCCAGATTAGAGTGAAGTGTGCCATTTTGCATCAGAAATGCACAGACTATGTGAAAACTCCCCTTGTTGTTAGCTTGATTGATTAACTAAGGACAAGAATGAAACTCACTTGTTTTGAATTTAAATATATTTCAAATTTGGCTTCTACAGAAGTGTGAAAAGCTGGTGCTTTCCCTGTTCTGCAGTAGCATGAGCCTCCCATTCCATGAACCCGTCAGCCCCCTGGTAAGTACTGCATGTGCGTGGGTCAGAGGGAATCCAAAGAATACTGTGGCACACCTCGCAAGTTTCTCCTTTGTCTTTTTGAAAGATATTCATTAGCTTTTTTTTCTGAACAGTATTGCTTTGTGGGGAAGGGTGGGTGTTTCCCTCTTGCCAAGTGCTTTGAAGGTGCCAGGTCAGAGGCAGGTAAATGCTGGCCAACGTTCTCAGGCCAGATTTGGGTGCCAATTTAAGATGCTGGTAGGATACTCAAGGTATATGAGGGGTTCCAGTGATTAAGAAGGTTGGCTTGCTGCATACATGGAGGATGTTGTACTGCTGTAAGAGAGGTCTGCTTTAGACATAAAACTGAACTCCCTCTTTTCTGGTGTTTTACACAAAGGTGGTAATGTGACTGTGTTCAGGGGAAGATGTGGAGACTGCTGTTTCATCCATGTACTCAACATTTTCAATATTAACTGGCTATTTTAAGGAAGATGTAGTTTCATGCCATTGTAACAATAGAACACAATGTGAAATAAGTTGGAGGAGGAAAATGAGAGGAAAAAAAAAGGTTTTATGTGAAGGAATAGTCCAAACAATAACATAAAAAATATTCCAGCTAATAAAGCTTGCCATGAACTTATGGAACACATTACATAACAAGTAGGTTTTGACCCAGAAAGATTTAAGGAGTGGGATATCCTCGTAGCTGGTGCCCTTTGAAAAAGGCTTTTGTTGAACTTTAAAGCGTACATAGTAGCATATTTTTAGTCACTCTTGGCAGACTACTTCCCACAGTATTAGCTGCCAGTATCTCAGGACATTGTTTTTATAACTGCTTGGGGGAAATGTTAGCTAATTGTCAATGTTACATATATTCTTGATTATGGTTAAATGACGACATTTATATCTGGGGATCAACTTTAGAAAATGCAAATAGCAAAGTAGTCACTGAAGTGTGCTATATTCAAGATTATTCTTGCAAGCAAATATGTTTTTAATCAAACCAAAAGGCACTCAGGAAGATGACGTGCAAGTGTAGGCACCAAAAGACTAGAGCTCTCTTCCTTGATGCAAGGAATCCTCTGCAGTGACTTCTGTCCAAACTTGGATGGAAGTCAACGGAGAGGAATTGTTCTAGTTAAAAAGGTTACATACCTTTGTTTTATTCTTATTGCAGGCTCGGCATTATTATCAGATCATCAAAAGGCCAATGGATTTGTCAATCATACGAAACAAGCTGCAAAAAAAGGACAAGTCCCACTATTCTGCACCTGAGGAACTTGTGACTGACGTGCGTCTCATGTTTTGGAACTGTGCAAAGTTCAATTATGTAGGTTTCCAATATGCATGGGTGGGGGGATGCAAACCAGGGGGTTGCTCTTTCAAGCTGTCGCATTGGTGTAACCATTGGTTCCATTGACATCAGATATGGGATTGGGATAAATAGAAGAATTAATCAGTTTTACTCTTTGGAAATGATATATAGATATATAGATTTTTAAATGACAGAAATAGAGATATATATGGATCTGAGAACTTGAGATACGTAAGGTTCTAAAATTAAAGAGGGATATCTTAGGAGGCAGCTTTTTGGAATGATGCTGAGTTTGCTGTGAGAAGCCAGTCAGAGCCAGCAAAATAGCTAGGGAAAATTCAGGTGCATAGAAATTCCTAAGCAATGATGACTGCTATTCTTTCTAGTTCACTGCACATCTCTTTTTCTTAGAGGTGCAGAAATGTGTTCCTTAATAGCAGCATCTGCTTTTTACTTACATTGTAAATGCAGAGGGACTAATGGGCTGTAGAAAGTGTGCAGGAGACTAATAGAGATGCAGCAGACAGAACCAAGGCGAGGCATTAGGGTAGGGTAGTCCTTTGGCTTTGATCCTTGATGATGTCTGTCTGTGGTAACACTGAATGGTTATGTATTCTCTTACAGCCAGATTCAGAGGTTGCTGAGGCTGGACGATGCCTAGATGTATTCTTTGAGGGCAAACTGAAGGAGATTTATCCAGATAGGCATTTTCCTTCAATGCAACAAGAAGACTCTGATTCTGAAGAAGTGGAGAGTCAGAATAGCAAAATGCCCCCCCAAGATTTTCAGTGGCCATCATATGGACAGGACTGCATTCAGCCTAAAAGGAGACGGCGCCATGCTGTAAGATTGCAAAAGCAAAAGCATTTGGTTGCTAAGTGGCCACCCTGCTAATTCTGTTTACAGCTACTGATGGGAAGTTTTGACAGGGCTGTGTGGGAATACTGTCAAGCTTCTATCGCAGAGATGTGATCAGTTCTACAATTTTATGTCAAGATCCTCTGAGTGGAATAAAATGTCAGTTGTGTATAAATGTGTGAGCATGAACAAACGAAGTCTCTCAGGCCACACAGTTACCTTCCTAGCAGAAAACTCTGTCAAGATTTTTAAAAAGACTAAGCCCTCTAGCTATTCACTGTTTGTTTCCTTTGTACACAGGGAAGTGAAAAAACTAAAAAAATGTTTCAGCCAGCTAACAGCCTTCCTCAGGTATGACCTCCTCAAGATACGAGAGTTGCTATGAGGAATCCAGCAGCATAACTGACAGAGTTAAGGTGTGTGGGAGGAAAGCAAAGCACTTGGGCTGTTTATTTAAGCTCTCCTAACCTGCTGACCATATGCCTTATTTCTAGATCTTGTGGATAGATAACAGATCCAAAGTGTTTGAATCTGTTAATATTCAATCTGTCAAATCATGTATATGTTTTGCAGTGTTTACACTGAAGTGCTAATATTTTGGTGATAGGTAATGATGATTAATAATAAAAGTAACATGCTAATAATATCTAATACTGCAGTACCATTTTATAATCTGTTCAACATGACATCTGTATTTTATAGAGCACAGGTAACCATGTAATACTCTTGCAACCTAAGTGTGAATGTTGGCCACGCTTTGTGGTAAATTCAATGTGTAGTCATAAAAGCCATAATCCTGTTGTCTTATTCAATGATTTTTCTGGGAGTTTGACTGCGCAAGGCATATGAGATACAGTCTAATGTGATTATCTGATTAGCTGTTTCTTTTGAAGCAAAGCATTTTCATTAAATCACGAAAGAACACGTGTTAATAGTGCTAATACTAGGGCTCTGTGTGAGCTGTTCCTGAGTGCATACTGGATGCTCTGTTTGCAAGGAATGATTCTTTTGGTATCTAATTCATTCTTTGTAAAGCAGTGTGGGATTTCTTGGGTCTCAAACGTAGAATTTTTATACAACCCAAGCCAGCTGTTTTTCTTTAAAGCAGATATTGGAATTCAGTAAATTAACTATGAAAGGAATTACATGGTTATGGAAGTGCCTATAAAATAACGTCATATATTCCTGATTTTCTCTTTACTTATTTCTTGTAGGTGTGATTACCAACAGTACTAGAAGATGATGATAATGTGCATATGTAGAGACTCAAACAGAATGAAAGGATGTTTAAGCTTTTTTTTTTCTAAATTCCACAATGTATTGGCAGAACACCACTGAGGGCCAGAAGAACAATTTTAGAGTTCACTTGAACAAAGGGTAGCATGTAATTGTAAAGGCTGAAGGGTGGGATACGTAACAAGACATGACACCTGATCAGAGAGTGATGGCTTGCAAGCTGCTTCCCACCTCTTCCAGAAGCAGGTGAGCCAGATCTTTGGGTGGCCAATGCTTTCTTTGTGTGTGTGAGGGACATCTTGCTCCTTAGAGCTATGCCCAGCAGTGTAAAGCTGGGCTGTGGTCTGGCTTTGAGAGAAGGGCTGTTGTAGATCTCAAACACGGTTACAGATCCCAAACACAGTTACAGTTCATTTTAATTAGGTTCCTGTAAATAAAGATGATATTTTCAGCATAGTTTATATGGGCTATTTGGTCTGGTAACCATGTATGTTATTTTAGATGACACTTTAAAGTAAAGGTTTATATATGAAATAATAAGATGTGAATGTTATATTCTACTGTCTATGTGACTTACTGTTTGCCATTAGCTTGGTAGTGAACTAATGTTTTCTTTTCTTTGAAGAAATGAAAATCTGGATCTTATAAGCTGACTGGAAAACTGTGAGATGAAGGGACAGCCTTTACGTTTTCTATATGTGAATTCCTATATGTGTGTTTTCTGTCAAACTCCTGTTCTCAAAACAGTTAAGTGTCTTGGCACAGGGAAAGGAGTGCAGGTTTGTAACTGAATTAATATCACCCTTATTTCTGCTACAGTTATCACCTTTTCTCAGTTGGTAATTCCTCCACCAAAGACCTATCTTTTACCATTAATAGCACAAAAATGATATGCTGTATAGCCTTCACCTAGGGGCAAAGGTAGAAATGGGAGAGACTATTGACAACTTCCTCTTTTCCTGGAAGGGCAGAGTCAACAAGAGCCTGCTTCTATTTCTTAAAGGCTGTAAGTTTGTTAATGGTACCATTAGCTTTGGAGAACACCTGTTTTCATAAAATTTATCCAGGGTATATTATACCTTTATTAAAAATAGAAGTGTACTAGTTTGTCATCATAAATAAGATACCCTTTGGATGTGTGCTGGCAGGACTCTATGACCTGAGCACTCTTAAGGCTAACTTCGTTTTGGATTACTTCTCTAAGACATAGTAACAGTTAAAAAAAATACTTGTAAACATCATGTTATGTTGGTAAGCAGAACAAAAACTGAACTCGTACGTATGACTTCGCATACTTTCAAACACAAATCTGTGGGTCAGCAACTTCACAATACATTGCATGTTCTAAGAACATTATTCTTCTCAGACATTGCCTTAAAATTGCTGGCTTGTGATGTTTCTGCTGCTGGATGCCACACCACCGGGGCCCGTACATTCCTGGGGCGTTTACTCTGTTGAAGTCCAATTGCACACTGGTAATGGGACTGACAGGTATGAAATGAAGGTGCTCTCTTCTGAAATCTAATAGCCCACATGACCCAAAAGAGAAGTGATAGGTTATGTAGTTACTTTTTCTTCTATCACACAGCCTGTTTCACAATCCAGAATGTGTAGGAAAGTAAGCAAGGAGGAACCCCGGAAGTTTTCCACTGGAAGTAAGTATAGCAGAAACAAATGCCAGAAACACTGTGGAAACCCCAGTGAATGCACTAGGCTCCTGCAAGTGCAACCAAGGGCACAATTTTCCTTTTGTCTTTAGTAATGGGTTACATGTAGAATGGGAAAATCCTCTTCATGCTTAAGCAGTTGGAAAAGAGATTAATTACACTTCAGTAACAGGTCTGTTGAAGAGGAAATGACAGCTACAAATTTGACTTTCATTCCCCTACAGACAATTTCAAAGACATGCTTCCAGTATGATTATAGCAGAATGGCGTTAGAGTTATTACAAACAGGTATTTACAAATTCAGATTATCAAATGACTGCATGTTTATATGTGTAATGTGCTTTGCTGAACAATAAAATATGTGAAATGTATTTTTGCACATCAATCTGAAATTTTTGATCCAAGTACATCTGCTTTCAATTAGTATATGGATTATATAAATATCATTTAACACTTAGTAGCTAAGTTGTTGATAACTACCGATGGCAAAGTAGAATGGTTACAAAAGCAGCTATGCTAACACAGGAGATCAGCTTTCTATTTGTACTGGAATTTTCAATACCAAGTAGATATTTTGCCTTTTCATTTTTCAATTAGTGTAAGTTAGTGAGACCCAAACATGCCATGAACAAGTAACAAAAAGTTTAAATGTATGTATACATTAAAATGCCAAGGAACATACATACCACTTACTAGTGAGATGAAAAAACTATTGCAGTGTATATAATCAGAAGGAATCAGAAAAGATATTTTAAAATTGAAAATGCTCAAAATTGAAGAATTATGGAATAATTTTTTAAAAAAATAGAACAAAAATATGCTGTTGGCCAAAAGTCAAACAGGCACTGCAAGTGTTTTATTGTTATTGGTTCCTCTCAGTTTGGTTTACAGGACTATAAAACTATCAGCAGTGACTTTCTGACCCAGAGGCCTACTGGCTCGAGGGCTGAGGAATCCATCTTTCAGGGTTACAGCTGTGCTGCTCTTCAGACGTAATTAAGAGAGAATTTGTAGATAGAGGTAACTTTTCTATTGTATAAACAGGAAAACATAGAAAAAACTTCTGGGCATACAATTTCTTCAAGTGTGAAATACAGGCAATAGACTTCAAAGGTAAATACCAGCTGAGTTTCTCTGACTTTAATTAGATATCAATGAGATAATCTGAGAGAAAATAAAGATAGGCAGTGGCTGTGAGCTAAGGAGGTTGCACATCTTTTGAAGCTGTCTTTGTAGATCAGGAGCAAGAAGTCAAGAGGTGGAGTGTTTATGTGTTGAGAAATGTTACCCCACTGTCTGTTCCTGTCCTCTAGTAAATGTTTATGAAAGTCCGTTTTAGTGTGTAGTTATGTGTGTTTTCATGAGAGCACTTAGTATGTTGGTAGTATTTGGTCTACTAAGTAGACTTTCGTAGAAGTTTATATTAGGCTACGTAACAGTAGGAATATGGTATTTGGGTGGCTTTGTTGTGAAAAGTGTTCAGTGTGGTGGGAGTACTTACTGTGGAGATGAGAAATTGCAATGTTCAAATCTGTTGTCAAATGTCTAGCTCCACTTGCTCCATTTTCATTCCAAATGTCTGAAAAAAAGGCTCTTGAAAGATACTTTTCAGATAACTTCTTCCTGCATAGGATGTAATTTGTAACAGATTCCCTGTAAATTCTACCTCACAGTATATTTTCACTGTAGAAAAGTCCTTTTTAGGTTAAGGAGATAAGACATGCAAGTGTTTTTCCCAGAGCAAATAGGGTAGTGTCTGAAGGTCAGGGAGTATTTTACTGCTTTTAGAGAGTGTTTGAGATGGTTACCAGTTTTATGGAAATAGCAACACTGATTTATGGTTGTGCTGTGGATGTTAGTTTGTAAGTTACTATTCTTGATCTTGATTGTAGCGCATAGGACAATTATGTCAGTATGGAAGTGTTCCAGAGGCAGTCTGACACTGAGGCAATGCTTATTAAATTTGTTGTGAAAGTCAGTGAGGGAATCCAGGTTTCCAGTAAGGATGATAGGGATGTCACTTAGTTATTTTAGGCATAACATAGATGCTATGTTCCTAGATGGTCTGTGCTAAGATGATATATCTGTCCTTTATTCCAACATTCCTCCCTTACCTGATACACCTGATTGCTTGCCACACTAGAATGACTTTTTGACAATGTTTCTCATTAGCAGTCCTGAGTTCACTTTAGATGGGGGAAAAAAAAGTATTTTTATACAGTAACATGTGGGCAGGAAATGAAACATAATTTAATATTTTTCCTTGTTTGCTTATTAGCCTGCTCTTGCTTCTGAAGTTATTAAGAGCAGGAATGGTTCTTACACGTCTTTATAAATTCAGTACTTACTCATTATTCCATGATATCCTGCTCAAGGAAAATGTGTTGGTGCTATTTCATTTTTTACAGTAGACTTCCTAAAGTTTCTTGATGTAGTTGCAGGTATGGGACAAAC